CCACCACATGGCAGATGAGGGATGGGGCAGATCTCCCAAGCTCATACCCTTGAAGACTGTTCACATGTACCCCTGTCAATAGGGTCAACTCTACTGTGCTGCCCTGGAGAGGTGCAGGGCCTGCTCTCCCAAGTGCTGCAGCTGGCAGGGTCAGGGCAGCTCTCCTGCTCTTATGACCTCAGGGCCAGCTCTTCCATCTGCCACAGGTGTTGAGTCAGTGGTAGGGCATCTTTACCCCACCCATGCTGCTATATGGCAGATAAAGAGAGTGGCCAGATCTCCCGTGGTCACCCTCTCAAGACTGGCCTTCCTGCTCCCCTGTCAATAGTGTCAGCTCCAGATGAGGTGCAGGGCCTGCTTTCCTGAGTGCTGCAGCTGATAAACAGGAGAGTCAGCTCCCTCGCCAGCTGGAGGCAGAAGGGGTGAGGGAGGATGGCATCTTTCCCTTGCCCCTACCACCAGACAACAGACAAGGGAGGCGGTACCAACTAGCCCAATCGCTTGCCCTCAGAGCTGGCTCACCTGCACCCCTGTCTACAGGGTGAGCTCTACCATGCTGCCCAGGTGAGGCACAGAGCTGGTTCACCAGCGTTGGTGCCGGTGAGGGTTTGGGTCAGCTTCCCCCCTGCTGCAGGTGGGGAGGGGCAAGGGAAGGAGAGCAGGTTTTTCTCTCCCATATCACCATGTAGCAGATGAGAGTGGCAGGACCCACTCTCCCATTCTTATGCCCTCAGAGCCACCTCGCCCATGCCCACAAACAAAGTCAGTTCTATTGTGCTGTCCAGGTGAGGTGTAGGATCCTCTCTCCTGAGTGCTTCAGCAGGTGAGGAGCAGGACCTGCTCTCCCTAGTGCCGCAGCCAGTGCGAGGCCAATTCTGTTCAGCACTATCCTCTCAGCCTTTGCAGGTTCAGGAGCCAAGAACATCAACGCAGACGGCAGCTGCATCAAGGCCATGAACCCAGACGTGGGCCCCACAAGCAGCCCTGGTATAGACAGCACCACAGCCATGGCTGACCATCAAGTTATCGACCTCACCTGCTCTTAACCCCTTTCACCTCTTCAGATATGCCATGTCCATGGGACACGGACCATTCTCTTCTTCTTTCTCTCTGTGAGGGCCACAGTTCTGAATCTGTTCCATTTTGACCAAAGGTCAGAGTGGTCAGATCTAATTTTGCTCCTCAAGCATAAGCAGATGATTGACCAAGAGTGTGGCTACTCTCCAAAGGCCAGTCCACAGGATGCTTTACTTAGGCCACAGTTATCAGGTGTTTTGAGATGTGAGGAGGTAATTGTGCTTGCTTGCTCATTGTGTCATGGAAGTCCTGTGCCCTTCCCTTTTGATGGGGGTATATAAGAATGTTGAGTAATAAACTTGGGACTGGTCACTGGGTGGTAGTGCATGCCTTTAATCCCAGCACTTGGGAGGCAGAGGCAGGCAGATCTCTGTGAGTTCGAGGCCAGCCTGGTCTATAAGAGCGGGTTCCAGGACAGCTAAGGCAGTTATACAGAGAAACCCTGTCTCAAAAAAATAAAAAAAGTAATAATAAATTTAAAAACAAAACAAAAAAAACTCTTGGGGCTGGTCACAGTACTCCCTCGATGCCCTTCCAACTCTAACTTCTGTTTCTCATCTATTTCTTTATTCAATCTACACCCCCTTCCTCTGGAACATAGGGACCCAGACCTATCAGGCCCCACATCTCTCCCTCCTCCCTCCTCCCCACTCCCCACCTTGCCATACCACTCCATACATTTGCTCACTGGAATAGTTCTTGTGGCACTTGGCATGCCTATGTTTTCTCCTTGGAGCCCAGGACAGACCCTGGCATGTATGTGGGTCTCCCTGTCCAACTCAGTCTATCATGGAGCCGAACAGGACCATGCTTCCTCCTAGTTAACAGGGTTCTTATACCAGCAATATTCACATGCACACTCTACCCTCACTTTTAATCTTTTCTATAGCAAATGTTTAGTTTGATTTTCTATTTTATCTTTATTGCAATTTTATTAATCTGTACTTATTTGCAAGAGATGTAAGAATTCTAGTTTTCTTAAATATAATTATTTCTCATACTTAATATTTAAAAGGACACTTACATTAAAAACTAATTTGGGAATTTAAGAAACTATAAACAATTATCATAATTAAAGATTTTGCTATTTTAACTATATTTTTATTTAAAAATATTTGTTCGACTATTCTACTGAAGTTTTATTTTCTAATTTTTTTAGTTGTATTTGAATATTATATCTTCCCAAATATTTTCTATGGTACAATTCAAATTTTTAAAAGATAATTATTTAATGGAGAGCTTTATTGATTTGCCTTCTCTAACTCTTTTTTTTTGGTTAGATTTATTTAGCTTTATTTTCTGTGTATGGGTGTTATGCTTGCATTCATATCTGTGCACCACATGTGTACAGAGACCTCAGAGGCCTTCAGAGGCCATTGGATTTCCTGGACCTGCTGCTAGCCTCAGATGGTTGTAAGCTACCCTGTGGATGCTGAGACTTGAACCCAGGTCTTTAGGAAGAACAGCCATCTTCTTAACTGCTGAGTCATCTTGCCAGCCCCTCTATTGAACTCACAAACATGCCTTTAGAGTATAAATTTGCTTTGGCTGTAATTCTAGGTATGTCCTATAAGTTTTCACAGACATAATTTTAACTGCTTACCAAATAGCTGTTGGTCATTTTTTTCTCCAACTGGCAAAATAGCATTTTTTTAAATTTATTTATTTATTAAGGATTTCTGCCTCCTCCCCGCCACCGCCTCCCATTTCCCTCCCCCTCCCCGATCAAGTCCCTCTCCCTCATCAGCTCGAAGAGAAATCAGGGTTCCCTGACCTGTGGGAAGTCCAAGGACCGCCCACCTCCATTCAGGTTTAGAACTCAGGACCTATTGAGACAATGGGGCTGATCTATCGGGAACTCACCAAGGCCAGCTGGCCTGGGTCTGAAAAAGCATGGGATAAAACCGGACTTGCTGAACATAGCGGACAATGAGGACTACTGAGAACTCAAGAACAATGGCAGTGGGTTTTTGATCCTACTGCACGTACTGGCTTTGTGGGAGCCTAGGCAGTTTGGATGCTCACCTTGCAAAATAGCATTTTGAGAAAGATACCATGCTTTTAAAAATGGTATGTTGTTGATCTTGTAAAATTTGTACTTTCGTGTGTGTGTGTGTGCGTGTGTGTCTCATTTACCGTGACACACATAAATTAAATAATGTTTTGTTTATTATTGTGCATGGATGAATGAATAGTAAGTGTGTGTGTATTTGTTCATGTATGAGGGCATACACATGTCTCCACATATAGGTGTAGAAGTCAGATTGGGTGTTGGTCTCCCCTCTTACACTTTAGGTGGGGTCTGTCTTGTTTGCTGCTGTACTATGTACTCCAGGGAGCTGGGTTGCAAGCCTCTCGGGGAATGCCCTGTGTCTGCCTCATCTCTGTAGCAGCGTTGGGTTTGCAGCCATGGGCTACTGTAGGAGTGCTGGGCTTACAACCACGGGCTACTGTAGTAGTGTTGGGCCTACAGACACAGATTACTGCGTCCGGCTTCTACGTAGGTTCTGAGGATCCAAATTTAAGTCATCAGGTTTGTACTGCCCTTATGTGACTATATTGAAGTTTACATTTTTCATTTGATGCAAATATTATTAATGCTATAGGAACTGTTGAGAAGACATTCTCTGAAAGCAGACTATAATACATATAAGTAGTAACAATTACATTTACTAATTTCCAAGATAGAATAATTAATTTTTGGTTTCAAGACAGGATCTTGCTGTGTGGCTTTGTGATCCTCCTGCCCCAGCCTCCTGAGTGCTGGGGTAGCAGGTGTATGCCTTATTGCTTAAAGACTACAGGCTGCCGATTTGCCTAGCAAGTGGAAATCCCCAGATTCAATGCTCACTACTGTAAACACTCACGCACGTGCGCGCAGACACACACGCACACACATATAATTAAAAGTCACCTAATAGTTTGAAGTCTGCTGGCAATGTCATAAATTCCTCCCACAATAAGTGTGTGCACATTAGTTTTCCTTTGACCACCTAGGAGTTTCACTGAATTTTTCTGTTTCCACTGGTTCTTCTACCATTGTGCTAATATGTATGCCATTGTCATTGTAAATGACTTTGATACTTTGTCTTTTGCCTCAGATTTTTTTTTTTTTCTGTTATGGCGTTGCCAACTTTGGCTCAGTTTAATCTGTTTCCTTCTTTTTTTTTCTTTTTTTTTATTGCGAAAAGAAGAAAAGAAAAAAAACATAAAAAAAAACAAGTTTCCACCTCCTCCCAGCCTCCCATTTCCCTTCCCCTCCTCCCACCCTTCTCCCCCTCCTGCCACCCTTCTCCCCCTCCTCCCACCCTTCTCCCCCTTCCCCCACTCCTCTCCCCATCCCTCTCCAGTCCACAGAGCAGTCCGGGTTCCCTGCCCTGTGTTAAGTCCTAGGTCCTCCCCCCTCCGTCCATATCTAGGAAGGTGAACATCCAAACTGGCTAGGCTCCCACAAAGCCAGCACATTAAGTAGGATCAAAACCCCCTGCCATTCTCCTTGGTGTCTCATCAGCCCTCATTGTTCGCCATGTTCAGAGAGTCCGGTTTTATCCCATGCTTTTTCGGTCACAGTCCAGCTGGCCTTGGTGAGCTCCCAGTAGATCAGCTCCACTGTCTCAGTGGGTGGATGCACGCCTCGTGGTCCCGAATTCTTTGCTCATGTTCTCCCTCCTTCTGCTCCTCCTTGGGACCTTGGGAGCTCAGTCCAGTGCTCCTGTGTGGGTATCTGTTTCCTTCTTTTTAGAATTAGTTAATTTATTTCTAAAACGTTTATTTATATTCTTAGAAACAGCAAATGACCAGACTGGGACTCTTAATTCCAACTGATTCTTTTCCTGGCTCATAGCAGATATTCAGGGAGACTCAGACTGTGGAATGACCTTTAACCTTGCTACATCTCGCTTTTGTTTTCTGGTTCATTCTAGGTGGACCATAAAGCATAAGGGGACCAGGAAGCCCAGCCAATGGAAACACTCCAAAGCTGAAAATCCTCTGTGGAGCAAGCTCAGGTACATGTGACCAGTCCTTCCCAGTGGCTAGCTTAATGAGGTTGTATGACTTTATCTTATGATTTTAAGATCCGGTATCTGGTCAGGCTTCAGAAAATGCCATTTTGATTTCAATATTAAAAAAAAATCTTGTTAATTCTGTTGATTACTGAAAAGAGGTGTGTGAATCTTTCACTGTGGAAACAAACTGAGCTGGATTTCTCTTGTGATCCCTCATGTTTTAATTTCTAAACTTTGAAACGCAGGCCCTAGGCCCACATATGATCAGAGTAGTATATTTTAGTCACTCTTGTTATCATTTCGAAACTGTCTGCTTCTAATAAAAAGATCAGTATTCAATGACATTGAAAGCATTTCAAAATTTTGGTTGTTATATGTCTTGTATGTTTTCTTTCCATCATTTTGCATTTTGGTTTTGTATATTCTTGGAATGTATGAGTCCAACTTAGGAAGTTTGTCTTCTGTCATCCTCTCTAAACTAAAGTGTCTAGCCTTGTCTGTCCTAACTACATGTGGACCTGAATTCCTACTTTCTTTCTGCTTTTTATGCCTTATCTTCCCTTCACCTCGGTCTTTTATTCTATCATGGCTTTTTTGTCCTGATAGGTTTTTTTTTCTCCATTTACTAGTTTGTACATTGTTCTTTCTATTGCCATTCTTTTTTTTTGGGGGGGGGCAGTTTTATTGTAACTATCCTGAGCATTCTAACTTTTATAAATAAATGACCAAAATGAAAATTAATAAACATGTTGTATCTTCTCTCAAGTAATAGGATTTCTGATATGAGGAATTATTTATTGCCATATATTTAAGTTGTATCTTAAAAGTCCCCACAAGATATTGACATTTTTGCATGCAGTTGATATTTATTTCCACTTATTCTAAAATTTTCACCTTACAGCTCAGGTCCTCCACCTAAGGTTACTTTCATTCTGGCCTGCTTGCCTTCCATTTAGTTAGTGCCTAACAGCGAGGTCTCAGCTGTCTAAAAGTGCCTCTACTGCACCCTTGTTCTTGTCAGACTATACCCCCAAATTCTTTGGTCCTTACTTGTAAAATGGAAAGAACTGAGGCATTAAATTAGCTAGAGTTAGATGGATGGACTGCATCTTCCAAAATGACTGGGTTTTGGGGTCCTGCTGTTTCTTGAAATGTTTGGAGAAAAAAGTACTTAGCAAGCAGGGAACTCAAATTAAACACAACCCATTTCACTTCAAGCCTGCGTCCATTTCATTTGAAAGACCCATATTTCCAAGTCCTTCTTCACATAATTGATTTGGAAGTTTGACATTCCTATTGTGGAATTCAAAACACTTTGGGCATGTGTTCATTAATTTTATTCTGGATCTGATCTCCAATTTTTATGTTGTATCTATTGTTTGTTATGTGTTTTAGTGTCAGGAGGAGAATAGGAAAATAGATGTGGTCTCTGAGTCCCAAATCGTACAGTTTAGGGATAGGCTGTAAGAGAAGAGAAAATAAGGCAGAGAAAGAGTAAAGAGGGGGACGAAACCTATGTAACAAGCTTTGTGTTAAAGTAGTGAAGGCTGCCTGTCCAGGAAAAGCGAGCCAGGCTTCATAGCCTGGAGGGGCCTGAACATTGAGTCACAATATTGAATCCAGGAAAAGCATCAAACAATCACTGAACTGAATGAATATCCAGTTACTTTTTTTAATCCAGTTCTTTTAATTTCATGGCAAGAGTTATTCAACACACAGTGATGATGAACAGAAGAGGTGAGAAGCATAAGCCCTGTGGGAAGGCAAAGCTGTCTTCACTGTGTCTCAGGCTGCATACATGCTGGACCAGACAGCTGATCTGAGAACCCTTCCAATGCAAATGCCACTTCTGGATACCAATTATCCTAAAAGGAAATTAATAACATTTAATAAAATGTAGTTAGTAAAGTACAAAATTTCATGCATAGAGAATATCATTGTTTTATAACACTAAACATAATAAAAACACAGAGAACTAACACATTCTTTTGGCTTATTCTAAACAAACCAATGGTTTTAGTATGTTTATTTTATTCAGAAATTGTTTAGTTTATTTAGAAACAGTTTATAGGAATGCGGTCTCAGGTTATTTTCTCAAACCTTGAAGAAAAGTTATAAATTGAGAAAATAAGTTTTAAATCTCCAAAGACAAGGAATAATGGGATTTTCCTATTCAAGGATGACATCATTAGAATTAGCAAGTTTAAAGAGAGTTAAGATTTTGGTTCGTATAACAGGATAATGATCTTAAAACTACTAAATTAAAATACATCTATTTAGATAGACCAATGATAGAAGAAAATGAAAAGTACATGTTTTATTAGTCTTATGAGATACGACTTTTCAGTGACCAAAGATGGTAAAAGGTAAACATGATGGGTATCTGTAGACGAAACACAGGGAGATGTGTCTACACATGGACCAGGAACTCTCTTACCAATGATGTATGGTCTTTCAACATGTCAAGCAAACTCAGAAACAATTTTTAAAAAAGGAAAGGGGGAGGAATGCAACCTTAAATGAACAAGCAAGAGAGACGAAGATTTGATTATTACTCACCGACAAAGAGGGGCCAGTATTGTAGAGAAGGCGAAGTCATCGGTTAGGAGCTCACTTTTGAACCCGCTCATCTGTGTGTGAGATGAGTTAAAGCAAGGGGAATCACCCACTTAAAGGAGCACCAGGGCCCCTCAGGGTTCCCTGACAATGCAGCCATGCTGGAGAAAGGCCTGAGCACAGAGAAGACCAATAAAGAAATGAGTGGGAAGACCAGAATTCCAACCGAGAAAATGGATGGGGAGAGACAGCCGCGGCCAGTTAAATTAAGCATATTCTTGTTGTCCATCATTATCCCGAGGCCGTATTTCTCTATTTGCATGAAGGACTAAGTAGATGTCTTGAATGGGAAAGCAGACATAATGGCAAACCCCTATGATCCTAGCATTTGGGAAGCTGAGGCAGGAAGACTGTGACAAGTTTAAGAGCACCCCGGGCTACATAGATGGTCCCATGTCAGCCAAGACTACATAGTGATGCTTTGTCTCAGAAAAACAAACAAAAGCCAATTAAAGAACCTGTAAGGACAGGAATTAAGATATTTTATTTTTTTGTTACATTTCTTCGTATGTGTGTGTGTGCGTGTGGTACCATGTGTTTGCCACATTGTCCTATGACAGTCAGAGGACAACCTGTGGGGGGTTAGTTCTCTCCTTCCACAGTGTGGGTCCTGGGGACTGAGCTCAGGTCATTAGCTTTGGTGACCAGCACTTTTACCCCATGAGCCATCTTACCCACTCGAGAATTAAAGTATCATAAAAAAAAGAAGAATTGATGTTAATAGCTCAGATATTTAGAAAGCTAATTTTTCACTTCTGGATGTTTCTGTGATATTTTACACTGAGAGAGGGGCAGGAGAAAGTTATCTTTGGGGTTTCTTCCTTCTACCTAGAAATCAGAGAACCCACTTGAAGGCAGCAGGGCATCCGTGGAGCTGAACAAATGTCCACAGTGACTACCACGGTCAGGGGCAAGGTGGAGGCTAAATAAATCAAAACTATCACACCTCAGATTTGTTCTGCAGAAATATAATTTTGAAATTACTGTGATATTGCTATGATAATAACCAAGGCAACTTAAAAAGAAAACATTTGATTTGGCTTTACAGTTTCAGAGGGTGAGAGTCCGTAATGGTCAAGGATCAGATAAAGGAATAGTTGAGAGCTCATATCTTGAGCCGTAACCGTAAAGCAGAGAGAAAACTAACCAGGAATAGGGTGGACTTTTGAAATCTCAAAACCCACCCTCAGGTATGTCTTCTCCAACAAGAACATACCTCCTGCTCCCTCCTAAACAGTTCCCCCAAATGGGAACCAAGCATTCAAATATATCACCCTATGGTGATAGCCACTCGCATTCAGTCACAGTGAGGTGTCGAGAAACTCATAGTTCCAAACCCTCGCTCTATAAATTGGCAAGCACACAGGCTAACAGTGAGAGAGAATCGTTTCTCTTGTTTTTCCCTTCCATGATTCGAAAAAATGAGAAATATTAGTAATTTTACACTCAAATATCAATGTGAAATGAATCTGTGTTTGCATATGTGATGTGATGTGTGTGTGTGTGTGTGTGTGTGTGTGTGTGTGTCTGTGTGTGTGTAAACCAAAGAATAACCTTGGGTTTTTATCCTCAGAGGTTTTCTATTTGTTCTTTTTATAGACAGGGTTTCTCATTAGCTTAGAATTAAGAAGCAGGAAAAACTAAAAACTAACAAAAGCAGCTTTCAGTTTATGGGGTGAGGAGAATAACACGAAGGATGAACTGTTAGGGATTAGGTAGTGGGCTAGAAATGTAGCTCGGTGGTAGAGTACACTCCTACCATGCATAAGGCCCCGGGTTTGACCACCAATACCGCAAAATATGCAAAAATTAGGAAGAAGGAAATAAAATAAATTATAATATTAAAAGCTGACAGAGCAGACTAGAAGGCACATATACACAGAAACATCCAACCAAAAGACAATCTGTTCTTTGAAAATATTAATAAAAATATATGCATAGCCATACTTATATTTACTTATATGGACATGCAGCAAATCAATTGCCAAGAAGCTTTCTGGAAAGTTCCTAAAGTGGTTGACAAACAAGGATAAGGTAGCTCTCTAGCCAGAAGTAAGCCAGCTACTACTGCTTGGTTCCAGAGAGTAAGACAGCAGGAAGAAGGCTGAACCAGGTAGGAAGCCATGGCCCACCCCCAGTCCTGTCCAGGCCAAACGAACAATCACCAGTGACCTCAGACTGGGAGTCCAGGAACAAGATGCTCTATGTCCCAAGTTCTTTCCTTTCAGCCAAGGGAGGGCTCTGCACACTAGAAAGTTCTAAAGCCCTGCCTAAGAGATTGATGACATAAACAGATGGTACAACATTAAAACATGATTGGACATCTAATCTTCTTTCCTTGATGGGAATGCATGGGGCTCACAAATTACATATCAATTCACATCAAATTCATTCAAATTTGGAAAAAAAATGAAGTAATTTTAAGAATAAAAGAAGATATACATGTATAGCTGCTTGGGAAGATAAAAGGATATTATAAATATGCTAATAATTATAGTAATTAATAAGATGGTCAAATTTTTAAACAAAGAATATTAAAAAGGAGTCAAGAAGAGAGCAAAGGGGCTGGTGGGCTGGTTCCCTGGATCAAGTGCTTGCTCATTTCTAGGACCCACATGGCCTAGGGAGAAAACTGCACTGCCTGGTGAGCTGTTCTCTCATCTCTAGCACAGCACTGCGCACACACAGCACCCTCCTGATAGCAACACAAATTTAATTAAAGGGAGACAGACAACATGAGTGATCCATCAGCCATGGAAAAAAAAGTTAACCCCACAACTCCACCATGGCCTCATTTTTCTAATTCATTGAACTACGCTCATAACAAACACAAAATTCAGAAAACAAAACACAAAGAAATATCTTCCAAGTCATTTCATGAGAGTAGGAAAACATTGATATCACTATTGATGAAGATCCTAAAAGAACTTTAGATGCTAATTCCATTTACAAATATCTGCAAATATCTTAAGGAAACTCTTAGCTCACTGAATTCAGCAATCTATAGACTCTGAAATACACCGCGGCTGGTTTGAATAGATGTCAGTTGACCTTTATGCAGAAATGTAAGCTTAATTTAAAATGAGAAAATTAATTAATGTAATTGACAAGTAATATAAACACAAAACCATTTAAAGGAGCTTTGTATGGCCCAACATATGCTTAGCACTTTAATAGAGATGCTTCAGATTGAAGCTAAGCTCTCCTCCAGGCTACACAGTTTCCGAGCTACCACCACGCCCCATCTTACATCCTAAAAACGAAGCAAAATGGGGCTTTCCTAACTGTACATAGAACATCTGTATACCAAACAAATTGTGAAAAACTGACTTATATGTACAAGAAATGGTAGAGGGTCAACAAAAGCCAATATGCAAAGAAGACAGGATACCAAGATTCACCAGATGCGTGTTGCCAGATGGAGTGTACTATCCATGGCGGACAAACTGACATATTGAAGAGAGTGGCACTCCTAAACCAGAGTGGAATAGTGACTGTTTTCAGAATGGGCACGATGTCAGCAGGCCAGTTGTTAATGCAGAAGAAGGACAGAAGAAAGAATGACAGGGAGGAAGGGAAGGGAGGGGTGGCAGCAAGCTTGTCTTTTGCTGGACGTCGTCTTTGACCATGCTCTATTCCGTTTACTCTGCTTGCTCCATTTAATCTCTGTAGATAGCAGTTTGATCCGCAGCCACCCAGTGTGCTTCCGAGCCATCCTCAGTTTCCTTATTTCGCACACATCAGCTCCACCAGTCTTCATATCTGATAAGCACGCTACTACCAATCCTTTGCTGCATGGAGACCAGCACTCTTATCAACAGCGCTGTGCCCCCCAGCATCCAGACAAACAAAACAAAATACCCCAATTGGATTGACACAGTATCACAAGTATGTCCTAAGGTTTCAGCACTCTGGTGAGGTCTTACTGAGTCAGGGTCTCCTGCTGTGAGGTCCCCTGCAGCTCCTGCCTTCATTACCAGGATTTTCATGCTGATGTCTAAGTAAGCCTCTGCTGTCTTCAAAGTATAGATTATTCTGTCCAATTTACAATTTTACTTCTGTTCCCCAAATAAATAATCAGTAATTATTGAAGAGTGGATGAATTAGTGATATGAATAAAAGTTTAGTCAAATAATATAAAGTCACTAAACTCCGCAAAGGAAATGTCTGAAATGCGTTTGTTATTACTTCATCATCTTAGTCTGTTTCTTAACACCCCTCTCCCACCCGTGTAATCTGCCCTGCCGCCTTGATCAAGTTCAAGATGATATAATTTCAGGCTATTGTAAAATTCTTTTTCACGCATTCTTCATTTCCTTCACACTGGCTAAAAATACTTCACACAGAAGCAAAACCAGAGATACTTGAAGTTAACTAACTTCTGCTTTTCTAGAATGTTTCTTTCCTTTGATACTTTTAAAAAAAAGATCAATTTTAAATTCAAAAAGTTAGATACTTTTTAAAAAGTGATCAATTTTAAATTAAAAAAATATTGGATTTTTTTAAGCAAAAAATACCTACAGTTTTTTTTTTTTTTTTTTTTTTTGGAATGGCTCAGATGTCTAATTTTTGCTGAACGGATGAAGGATTGAAGGTCCACAAGACTCATTATTTATTGTTCTTATATTCTTTCATTCATTTTTGAAGGCATTTGATTGGCCAATAGAAGGTCTACTGGTGCCAAACATCTCTGCCATGAAGAGGCTGGTTTGTAAGACACCAGAGCAGTGTGTCCCTGTGAGACTCCAAATCCTGAGGAACGGAGACAAGGGAAAGAGCAGATCCCTTGTTATGGGCCCAGATGTCTTACCGGGACGGAGATTGCGGTAAGAAGAACACCCTTTCCAACCGACCTTCCAGAACACTCTCCAACTTCTACAGGTGCCAGTCTTCAGCTTGAATGTTTTCTGGAAGGATTATATGTTTATGTACAAAAAGGGTCCTATTCAAAGATAAAAACAGACAGGGTTTGCTTTAGTTTCTTGGTCAGGAACTTGAGTTGTTCTCTCTGTTTCCATCCACACGTGAGCAGAAGACTGTGTTAGGCAGGAGTAGTGGCTGCAATTCAAACAGCTCTCTCTACGTTTTCACATAGTGCTTTTGTTCCAGTTCTACAAGTGTATGCAGGTATAAATAAATTTACAATGTGCTTGTTAAATCTGGATTTTAAATTGCTTCCTGATTATTGTAAATAACTAGTCTCCTATCTTTGGGTTAAGACACACAGTTCTCTGAAGTATAGGAAAACACGGATCTGCAGTTGAAAGTTACCCTGCAAATAAAGCCATCCCTGACAGCTTATGTTTCTCTACCACTGGAGACCAACCGCCTGCCATATGTTTCTATTTTATGGATTGTGGAAGAGCTTTGATGGGAAGAATGAGTTAAACACATTGTTTCTCATATAATTACCAGCAATGTTACCTCTTGACCTTTCTTCTGAGATATTTAGGATATCTGAGGCTGCTGATAATAGTTTAATATTACTCTCTTCTCATCGATTAAATATACTTCATACATCACTGAACAATGAGTAACTTTCAGATTGGCTGTCCACTGAACTGCCTGTAAAGATGATAAAGTAAAAAATTAATCTTCAAAGTAAAGTCAAGCCTGAAATTGAAATCTTTGACGCATACATCTCATAATTAGCTCATTCTGCTCAATGTAAGATGTGAGGGTAATGCCCTTAAAGAGAGTGTGACTTTTCTCTCACACCCGAAGCTAACACATCATTTCGTTCTCTTTCTACATTGACACTTTTTTAAATCTTATTTTGTACTTTTAATTGTAATTATAATTATACACAGAAAGCATCTTTTACCTTAGTGTTTAAGGTGCTTAGCTCAGTCAAGGAATTCAGCAGTATTTTGAGAGATTAGCAAATTTGAACAGCTATCCTGGCAGAGAGGATGTGAACTGCCCATTGTCTGAATGCTCTGCTCGTAGAACAACGTGTCAAGCCATCAAGTGTGCAGAGAGTGGCACGCCACTTTGTTCACCCCAAATTACTTTTGCCCAAATAATTAAAATAACCTGACATTCCCTTGACAAAATTATCCTCCCAAGGAGTGCCCAGTCTTCCTTTGCTGACTGAGACAGTTTTGTTCAGGATCATCTATAGCAAGTCCCAGAGCTGCGTGGAAATACTGGCTGACAAAAGGTTTAGATAGAAAGGCACAGCTTACATGAGAACATGGTTAGGTGGCCCCATCTCCAGGATGGACATATTAGAGTCTGTGTAATAGCAACTTATTGGGCTCTCTTTAATAGACCGAAGCTCAGTATCTTCCAGAAGAAAAGATTTGACTGACAGGTGAAATGTTTTGCTCACATTCACATGAGATATATTTATTTTTATAAAGTTGAGCTATTGTGAGTATGGATGTATGGATGTTTGTATGCATGTGTATCATGCTAGAATAGAAATCTATTTTAGCACCATCCTGCTCTGGCTACCTGCTATCCTTCAGCTGTGTAACAACCCACTGAAGATGGTTTTGAGGGTTTGCTGATGCTGTTGGCTCCACCATTGACAAAGACTGAGGAAGACAGCCCTGCCTCTCGGTGTTGTGATCACCTGCTGTGCTGTTGCTTACCTGCTGTCACATCAAGGATTAAAGCATTAGAGAGCCACTTTAATACAACCGTTAAAGGCCTACAGGGGGTGCCACCGCAGCACTCATGAGTGATTAACCGTATTTGATCCATTTTTCATTTCCTAAAATACAGAACAGGTCTCTGACTTGAAGATTCAGAGGAAGATCTTTAAGCATTCCAATATCTCTATCAATATCCTTTTTCTGATCATCATCATTTAAAATTTGTTGAAAATAATAAAATCATTAAGTAAATAAAACACTACAGAGAAAAAATGAATGTCATCTTTAAGTTTCATTTAATTACATTTTGGAGTTTTCAGCACCATGAAAAAAGGTTCAAAATATTGTAAGTAGATTTTCTTTTACAAATCCTTCACAGAATACATGCTTCTTTAGCATGCCATATCATTCAGTATACAGTATTAAAATTTATATTTAATTATAACATGAAGTTTAATATTTAATTATATTAAAATTTGAAATTGTATCTTTTAAAGGAAGGCAGATTATTGGCAGCAAATCATTATCAGTTAAGGTCTCACCACTTTCCCACATGTTAAGACACGTTGTCACTAATCAACCATGTCACATAACATGTGCATGCCTTGCATTATTGGTTGCAGAAACGTTAGTGCTGAAAGAAAGGAAAAAAGCCACACTGCAAACTATTCTGAAGCAGAAAGAAACCAGACTGAACTTCACCACCTTTTGGAGAGGTAAATGTTTACTATTTGAAATGCAAGTGTGTTTTCCATGAGAAACCTTGAGTGGTCACACTTAACAGAGAACACACAAAACATTTCTATACATAAATTGTCAATATAATGATTGTAGACATTTTAATCATGTATAATACATTATATATACTACATATAACATATATAGTATATATTGAGATAGGAAGACAAAGCTAATTTATAAAATCTCCCTCAAAAATGCAAGATTGGAAAATTCCAGAAACCAGAATAACAGAAGCCCGGCATTTGAAACTAGATAATCTGAGCCTGGAAGACATATTCATCAAAGGCGTTAGAGGCCAGTTGTTTTCTGCTCTATACTTTGATGCTGGCTAGCATGGAAACTAGAAAGAGGAAGGAGTGCACAGAAAACTGCTTGTCTCAGCCCTCTGCTGCTTGCCCAGAAGGGCCAAATTCAGCTCCAAAACTAGGGCTTCAAAACAGAACAAAGGGTAAAGACAGATTAATTAGCTATTCACCCACCCCTTCCGCTGCGACCCAACTGTCCTAGCACTGGATGTTCCCACAGGTGAGAATTACCTCTAAAAAAATTACAAGTGAGGGACAAATGTTGCTCTCCCACAGGCTTTGCCATAACCACGCTGATATGCAAGGATATCCATGCAGGAAATGAGAAGGCATTGCATTAGCTGTTGTGGTCTCAGCCAAACAGAAGCAGGGCAATCCCACCCACCACTGCAAGTGAGGGATCTCACTCAGTGTACACCGCTTCATCAAATAGAGCATGAGACGATGTACTTTCTCCTGGCTTATTTCCTTTCAAGACCACTGCAAGGACATCACTGGTCTCGATATCTGCTTAATTGCTATATGCTGATGTAGGAAATAAGAGTTAGAAAGTTCCGTGCTCAGTCTTGCTGAGGAGCACAAAGTCATTTCTGGTTCACTACAGTGGTACAGGTATCATCAGCAGTGTGTGTCAAGACCTTCATCCCAACAATATTCTTTAGGAAATGCATGACCCGGCATAACTGTTAGCTCTATTTCTCCCTCCCTAGGGTTTAGGCATAGCTAAAGGCAAGGAAACCTATGCTCCCATCCCTTCAGTGACTCTCCATGAACTAGAACTCAGGTATGCTATTCTAGAATCCAGAATGCCTTCAACCTGCTCCTGTCTTCTTTATAGGCTCATCAGATTCCCCAACCCATTCATACACCCTGGCCCAGCCTGAACTCTTCTATTTTATTTTTAATTTAATTTTTTATTTCTTGAGAATTTCATTTCTACCTTCCTCTTCCCCCCAACTCCTCCTCCTCATCATCTGTCAAGTTCAACCTTTCCTCTTCTTATTGTTATTGTTTTGCACACAAACACACACACACACACACACACACACACACACACACACACACACACACCTGAGTCCCTTTAGTGTTTTTCATATGTGCATGTGTTTAACAATGACAACATGGTATTGGATAATCTGTCTGGGGGCTCATCCATCGAGAAAACTGATTCTGCCTCTCTCAGCAGATAGTGATTGGCTTATAACTCTTCATCTGGGGTGGGACCTCCTGGAATTTCTCCCACCCATGTTGGCATGTTCATTGATAAAGTCATTATGCAGGTATTGTTTAAGCAACTATATTATTGCTATACCATGAGTGCTGCATCGTGGTCAGATCTAGAACACACCATCTTAGCAGGCATCCAAGTTCCCTGACTCTTATAGTCTTTCTGCCCCCCATATTCCATGGCATTTGCTTAGGTTGTGCCTCACATCTCCCAAATGGGGCTAGACACCCCACTGTCACTGACTCTCTGAATTTTTCCTGGTGGTGGATCTTTGTAGTAGCCTCTGTCTACTTCAAAAAGAAGCTTCTCTGATGGCAGGTGGGCACTGTGCTTATCTTTGGGTATGAGGTCTAGTATTTAGAGTACAGTTAGAAATTATGTTGGTGTAGAAAAATGGCAGTAGTGGGCTCTCCTCAAGGGTCCATGACCTCTCCAGCCATAGCAGGTTGGCTAGGTTTACAATACTAAGCACGAATTCCCTCCTATTGAATGGGCTGTTAGTTATCCCCCCCACCATAACAGTCCCACTGAAGGCATCTTACTGGCCAAGCATTTGTTGTAGCCAAGGCTTTATAGTTGGATGGGGTTATTAATGCCTTGCAAGTATCTTCTGATATTATGAGAGCTAGCCACAAAGAGGATGCTTCCATGTCAGTTGCGGCTTGATTCCTCCAAGTTCCGTGTCTGAAGTGTGAGGTGTCTTCTGTAACAGGGTCTTACTTTTGATTTCTGAGGAAACCTAGGGCTAGGGCAACAGTCTATGTTGTTTTTAGCATCTCTTGGAAAACCCTGGCCAACAACTCGAAAAGGGGTTTTCAATGCCTGGAATAGGGATTTTTGTTAGATAGTCTGTGACTCTTGGGGAAACTATCACCCCACGTTGTATAACTACACCTGAACTATATACATGCATATGTGGGTAAATGTATGTATATTTGTGTTTTTAAGTAAGCCTATAAAACAATATGCTCCCCTTACGGGCTTCTTATACATCATTAGTGTTGATCCTTCTTCCTCTTTCCTTCTGTACTCACCTTTCCCCTCCACAGCCACAGTCTTGTCTGCCCCCCTTTCTTCTTTCTCCCTCTGTAACACCCACACCCTGCTCTTAAAGAATGATTCATGTGTTCAAGTCCAAGCCAATGTCACTTCCTTAGATAAAGCCCCTGCAGGAAGGGATCCACTGTTTTCCTTTGCTCTTGAAAGACACTGACCATCGTCGACAACAGTACCCGCTGCACCATGCTGAGAGTCAGTGGATGGCCTGTCTTCACTCTTGGCTGGGTAGGCGACTCCTCCAGCAGTCAGGAGTGTATGGCATTCATCTCAGTGCCCACAAAATACTGTGTGAAGCCTGGGGGTGGTCAATGATAACATTTAACAAGGCAAACATCCTGGCTGCAATCACTTCTGGGGGGAGGAGGATGAGGAACTGCTTGATGCAGGTGTGGCTTTTTGGTGACTTTGGAGAGCACATGGAGCTTCAACTGAAAACGCCAAGAAGCATATTTGAGATAGAAGGACAAACATGAGTTAAAGCCAAAAAAATGGCCAGATATATGTAAGACACAGACTGAGAAAGTCTGAATTTAAGTCCACAAACCAGAGTCAGGAACTGAGAGTCAAAAGGACACGCTGGCTCTTGAGTCGCCATTAATGGCCAGGCTTTGTTTTCTTACGTTACTCCTGGAAGCCGCTTGTATGCAAAATTAATTTCTACGTCTCTTGTTGCAGGTGCACTGAAATTTTAGATTTACCTTTTGCTGCCCGGAGACTTTTCGATGAAAAAGGGAAGGAAATTTTTTCCCTGAATGACCTGCAGAGAGATGAACTGGTAACCAGGGGAGGGTGGGGTTGGAACTGTGAGTAGGTGAGCACACGCTGAGAAAGAGCACCCTTCCGTGCAAGGCTGCCATGCTCACCAAGCTTACTCTTTCTCAGAAGGCCCCCCAAGGCGTCAATCATCAAAAACCAATGCTAACCGATAGCATTGCTTTCTTCCTAGGCAGCGGGTCAGGCTTGTGTGACTCAAGATGATAAATAAATATGTGTTTATCACGCCTTTTTAAAAAGGATGCCTTTTCCTCCACTACAGAGCCTACGGCAGGCCAGTTATTCACCACTTCTGATTTCTACATCTGTTGCTGAAGGAGAGAGACCCTTAACTCTTTTTGAAGTCTATCTATAGTTATTTAATGATTTTCTTATTAATGACTAATTTCTTTGCTTTCTCAGATTAAAAGAAGTACACATTTTCATACCCTCTAATTGGAGTCTAGAGAAAGCTGAGAAATGGAAGGCCTTGCATGGCCTAGTCTTGCCCACCCCCTCCTCTCTGGAATTAGAGATATCTGCGTAGGTGGAAACATTCCTTGCCCTGGCTGATGCCTGAAGCTCTTTGAATAAAATCTCCAAGCTGAGCATGGTGGCTCATGCCGGTAACCCCACTACTCCTAGAGGCTGAAACAGGAGGATTGTTGTGAGTTCAAGGTCACTATTGGCTTCATAGTAAGTTCTGGACCCATCCGATTTGTGTAGGAAAACACCATCTCAAGGAAAACAACACCCATGCACACATATGTGACCAATACAAAATAAAACAACTTGGTTAGTGCTCTGAAGCTGAGAACCCCTTGAGCATTTGAAAGCGACATTCAGTGAACAGTGTGAGAGGCAGCAGGTGAAGAGGCCTTGCTTTGTTTCGGCAGGTTTTATGTGGAATGCTAACTTTATCGCTTCTAAGAGTTTTGTTTGTTTCTTATGTTTCTGTTTGTACATGATGCTGGGGTTATTCAGTTGTTTCTGTTTTCTTTCTCGCAGATGGAATTTTGAGCAGAATAAGTCAATAACAAATGATAGATGTAGCCTGAAGATGAGTATAGAGGAGGCACCAGGCCAAAGGGGAGATGGGAGTGAGGAGGGTGGGATGATGGTGTCAGAAGTGCATCTCTCGTCACCAGGGTTTAACTCACTGCGCTGTGAGGGGGAAAATTGTAATGGGGCCAATTGCTAGATGTAGTGTCTGTCAGAGAATGGGAAGTCTGATGTTCAAGAAGGGGACAACCTAAGAGGATCCTTCCTGTATCCTCATGTAAAGAGCTAAGTGATGAGTGTATGATGATGGCAAGAGGTAGCACTGGGGTTCTCCTCCGCCTGGGTCTCAGCATGTTCTTGTTCTTCCTGTCTTTAAGGGAATATGTGCCAGGTGTGGTGACATAGTCCCACGCTCCCAGCAGTCAGGGGACTGGGGCTGGATGATCTTGAAGCTCAAGGCTAGCCTGGGCTATACAGAGGGACTCTGTCAATGGGGACGGTTGGAAGGTTGGGAGGAAGGAGAGAAGAGAATGTATTCAAGGGCATTTAAGAAACAGATCCATGGAATGAGGGACAGTGCTACCTCTACTATTATTATCCAGAAATTACACATCGATATCTAGTGCACACTTTAACATTGTTCAATAAGCTAAAGCTACCTTAAAAGAGAAATGTTAATTCTATATCATTTTAATTGAACAACTCTTTACAGTTTTTAATTAAAGTAGAATTCTATCACTTTCTCCCAACCACTCTCAAGTTGGTGGCCTTCTTTCTTTGATTATTTTTATTTTATACAAATATATATGTATGTACATATGTATGTATTATGTATGTATGTATATGCATAAACAAGACCAGAGCAATGGCAATATCAGCAGACATGTTAACATGGAAGGGAACAATTTCATAGAGTCCCATCCCTAGGCAAAGAACCACAGGTAACTCATGACTACTGAGAGAAGGAGAATTAGCTTCTCCTAGGGATGAGCTCTTATTAGTTGTCAGATTCAGAGTGGCCAGCCTTAAAACCATATACACACAGACATCAAAAACATATCTAGTAGTGTGTATGTATGTGTGTTTTAAAAGATCTTGGTTTTTAATTATGTGTACACTTGTGTATGTTTATACACATACATGCAGTGCCTCCAGAGGCCAAAAGTGGGTGTTGTATCTCCTGAAGCTAATTTACAGGTGGTAGTGAGCCACACAACATGGATGATAGGAACCTACTCCAGTCTTTGCAAGAGTGGTACATGTCTTAAACTGCTCGCCATATCCCCACATTAGTATTTTGGTGTTTATATAATACTACAAGTCCATTTCTGCAAGGGATCTTAATCTTTTTTTCATGAAAGAGCAGGTAGTGGAGATCTTAGGCTTTGGTGACTATGTGGTCTCTACAGAAACACCAGCCATTGGCTACATGTAAACAAATCAGCAAGTCTCGTTCCCAGGAAATCTGTATTTACAAAATGTACCAGCAGCTCCCATCTGGGCCATGGTCACATTTGGCCAGCTTCTGATTATCTCTTCATTTCAATCCTTCCCCCTTACCTTCCTTTCCATTAAAAAAATTATTTGAATTTTGTTATTTGTAAATGACTATAGACTTATAGGAGTTGCAAAAAAAGATGTGGAATGGTTTTGTTTGTTTGTTTTGCTTTGTTTTTTCCGTGGTCCATGTTGTACTACATGAGAGGCTGGCATCACTGGCCAGCCATGGTAGAGTCTAACAGCATGCATGCAGTTAAGGCTGTACCGCCTGCCGGGCACTCTGCAGAACCAGTGCCTTTGCCGGCGGCTTGTTCCTTTTCATTACTGGGTGGTACTCCATGACACCGCAGTTTGGCTGTTCACCCTCCGTATGGTCCTGACTTCTGGGACTGCTTCTACTCTGAGCTGTTTCGATCCCTTCCACACCATTTCCCAGACGCATCTCTTTGATAGGTATATGTTTCATGTGGAGAAGCCTGGATTAATCCTGACCTCTCCATCGCTCAACAAAGGAAGCAAATCCTCCTCAGGAGCCTTGAGTTTGACGTTTCCAAGATTAAAACCTTTTGCAGCTTGTGCAAGGAGGAAGGTAAGCTTTGGCGGTACCTTACTTTGATACCCCAACACATCCAATGACATGGCTTTATATTTAAATCATTTTTATTCAAACAGTCCATTCTGAGCTCTGCATCTTGCTGTTTGGCTCTTTAGCCTCATTCATTAAAGTGTATTTAACGTGGTTGCATATTTTATTACCTACTATACTTCGGAAGAGCCAATGGTTAAAAAAAAAAAACAACTCAACACGATTCCTTTTATGTTTTACAGATATGTAATTTGTGAGCCCCATGCATTCCCATCAAGGAAAGAGGATTAGATGTCCAATCATGTTTTAATGTTGTACCATCTGTTTATGTCATCAATCTCTTAGGCAGGGCTTTAGAACTTTCTAGTCTGCAGAGCCCTCCCTTGCCTGAGAGGAAAGAACTTGGGACATAGATCGTCTTGTTCTTGGGCTCCCAGGCTGAAGTCTATGTTTGCGGTCACTTGTGCTTGTTCGTTTGGCCCGGACAGGACTGGGAGTGGGCCATGGCTTCCTACCTGGTTCAGCCTCCTTCCTGCTGTCTTACTCTTTGGAACCAAGCAGTGGTAGCTGGCTTACTTCTGGCTAGAGAGCTACCTTATCCTTGTTTGTCAACCACTTTAGGAACTTTCCAGAAAGCTTCTTGGCAACTGATAGGTCAGCTGCATGTCCAGAAAGTCAAGTCCATATGCATGTAGCCTTGCGGTGCGGGGAGGGGTCATGTCACAGAGGCCTGATGCTTCCCTAGTGTTTCCACAATGACACCAGTAAGGGAAAATACAACTCCTTGCACTGGTTTCTGGTATTCTCCACCTTCTACCTCTGTCCCTGCAGGCCAATACTGAAAGGTAAACTCTTTATACACTAAGTAGGAGAGAAAGGCTTGTGGGAAACACACACACCAGTGCTGCATTTCTTGGCTTATATAGTTGTCATCTTGGGACAGTATGCTGTTGTTAGCATCTAGGGAGTCAACTCAGTCGGTAAAATCGCTCGTCACTGGGCCTGATTGCCAGCACGCTTGTGAAAAGTCAAGTGTGGTTACAAGAACCTGCCATCCCAGCACTGGGGACAGAGACAGACTCACTCACTAGTGGGCCTAATCAGCCAGGCTCAGTTCCCCGTAGGGAGCCCTGGCTCAACAAACAAGATGGACAGCGGCAGAGGAACAGCATAACAGAATATGGTTGACTTCTGCCACCCCTACCCCTACTCCTGTCTTTGGACTTTTGAGTTTCTCTTGTAATATCTCTCTCTCTCCCTTGTGGACTTCCCCTTTCCCTTACCAAGGTAAGGAAAAACCATTATCCCCCACAGTTTTATACACTTTTCACAGTACTGGATTTCATGCTTGAGTCTGAATCTCAGAGAACCATCTAAAGACGTATATGGAAATGCTATAGCTTGTTAGAATAATTGGAATAGAAAATCATTAAATTAACCTCGGAAATACCTACTATTAGTACTTTTGTCTAAGTAAATCTCAAGAGGAAAGAATTAGCAAGCATCCAATTAAAGTCCAACTTCTTAGTTTAAAGAACGCCCAAAGGCTGAAGGCTTTGCCCTTCATTGAGTATGTAATTTTGAATTCCTGGTGCTCTTCAGTCGTGACTAATATGTCTTTGCAATTGGTTCATTTCTTCTCAGCTCTCGTTTTAGAAGTCCAAATTGACCTTGTGTCTGGGGGCAAGCTCGTTGTGCATAAACCTGTAGTCATTGTGGAAGAAGAGAAGCAAGAGAAAGGACCAGAGGGAACTCAGATGCAAAATGATGCTTTAATACCAGGAAATGCTCCCAGAGACGCTCTGTAAGTAAGTCATCACTGTGGCTGGAAAAGGGGGCCAGTGCTGTGTGACTGCAGCTCTTCCACCTGGAGGCAGTGTGGAGCCCATGCAGGGAACTCAGAGACGTTTCTGAAGCTCCATCACTTGTCATACCGTATTCACTTAGTTTCTGACAGACCAATAGAACCAGGGCTTTAACCATCACTTTCCGCTCCTTTCAGCGATGCAGCTACAACATTATCTTAGCATGGTACTTTCCTTTCCCCTTCCTTCCTTCCTTCCTTCCTTCCTTCCTTCCTTCCTTCCCCTCTTTCTTTCTCACCATGTTTTGTCCCAGTAAACACTGAATCATTTTGAGCCACTGAAATTGCTTTCTGGAAGATCGTCATAACGCCATCCTTTCAGGCTCTCTAAGGTCCATCTGTGGACAGTTATCTTACCTTCAGTGCTTCCGTGAGAGCCTAGGCTGACAAGCTGAGTAATAACCTGCCCTCTTATGGCCCTCAGCCCTGCCTGACAATGGCCCTTCTTTTACCTCATGGTCACTTCCATTTGACACATCTCTTGGTGTTGTCTAGCGTACCGGCTTCTAATAGGTGACAAACTATTACCTAAAGATACCCAATGCTCGCTGCAGATACTTCTTTCTTTCTGCCTCAGGTTCTCTTTCTTGTCACACACCTATCTGTGGTGACTTCACTAAATTTAGACAGTGCTGTACTTGGAGATGTTCATGTCGGGTTTCTTCGCCCAACCTGGGGCCTCGGTGTGGCAAAGGACCCCACCCACATGCTCTGCATAGGCAGAATAAGGGTATGATGAGTTTACTCCAGACTTGAGCCCTGCGATTGCCAAACTCACTTATCCTTGTTACAAATTTATTTTTTTGCTTTTATTAATTTTGAACGTGTGTGTGTGTGCATGCGTGCGCACGCAATGCATGCACCACACTGCAGGTGCAGAAGTCAGAAGATAAGGACTTACTTCTCTTCTCCCACTGTGGCCTATGTGTATCAAACTCAAGCTGCCAGTCCCGGTGACAGGTCCCTGTACCTGCTGAGCCACTGCTGGCCCACCTTGCTACCAACTTGTAGGAAGCTGGTTTTAGGAAGCACTTTTCTTAATCTGACAAGTGATTCATTCACCTAATCCAGGTCTCCAAACAATACAGGCACTGGCAAGCAGTTTTTTTGCTTTCAGAGAGTTTCTTCTCCCATGTGGTGTCTCCTATAAAAGCTAGGGAATTGGACACAAACTTTCCTAACAAGCTTTCCATTCTTCTGAAGAGTGTTTCCTCCAGCCCCTAAATTACCAGGCTGCACTCAGACAAAACAGAGTGAGGAAAAAGGAGTAACCTTCTAGAGCAAAGATCTGCTTTGTGGATCAGTCACAACAAGGCCTGGAGTCCTTAAGGTGCGGGAACTCATAGCTCCCAGCACACAGGGTTGCTGGTTCTTACCCAAACACCCCAGGCAGGTTTTGTGACCCAGGCTCTCAAAGATTCCCTGAGTCCAGGTGCCACTGGCTCACAAGGAAGCTCATTCTGCTTTGATGATATACTGACTGGTTTTGTGTCAACTTGACACAAGCCAGCATCATTAAAGAGGAAGGAGCTTCAGCTGAGGAAATGCCTCAATGAGATCCAGCTGTATGGTGTTTTCTCATTTAGGAATCATTGGGGGAGGGCCCAGCCCATGCTGGGTGGTGCCACCTCTGGGCTACTGGTTCTGGGTTCTATAAGAAAGCAGGCTGCACAAACCATGTGGAGCAAGCCAGTAAGCAGCACCCTCCATGGCCTCTGCATCAGCTCCTGCCTCCAGGTTCCTGCCCTGTTTGAGTTCCTGTCCTGACTTCCTTCAGTGGCGAACAAGAATGCTGAAGTATAAGCAAAATAAACCCTTTCTTCCCCAACATGCTTTTTGGTCATGGTGTGGCTTCACAGCAAGAGAACCCCGACTAAGACAGATGACCAGCTCTCAGAAGTCTCTGCCCCTTGAACTCATGCTTCCCTGTGATGAACTCCACTTTTAGCTGGCAGGCCTTCAGTCCTCGCTTATCAGTGTACCTGGCTGTCTCTCTTTGAACATAACTTTCACTAGTTCTTTGAGGTATATCCAATGACAATCTATTTAATTGTGTTTTTAGTTATCTCTTTTGAGTTGGCATGAAAAGTCATGGGTTTTCATAATCCATCCCACCATGAGTTACCCCCACTGCCCTCCTCCACCTTCCCTTCTGCTCTGCTGTAGTCACCTTCTTCCCAAATGCCCCCTTTGGGCTTCCATGTTGCATATCCTTCATTGTCCTCTCTCATGTTCCTTCTTCCCTGACCGGTAAGACATCTTTGATGACAAAACTCCACATTAGGACGTCTTTGTGTGATTTCTCTGGAATCCGTCGGTCTGCATCTTTGGAGGATTTAGCTTGTAAGAACTGAGGTGATTTAAGAAAGGTGATTCAACTTGGGCACCTGGGAGCCCCTCTAGGGTCAGGTCTCTTGCCAACCCTAAAGTGGCTCCCTTAACTAAGATTTGTGGTTCCGTGCTCCCCTGTCCAACCTTCCTTTATCCCAATCCTCCTGTTTCCCCAAGCCCCCCCCTTCCCTTCTAACTTTTCTCTCCCCATCTCCCCTTACCCCCATCCCAACCCACCCCCAAGATCCCAATTTTCTCCCCGGCAATTTTGTCTACTTCCCTTAGCCAAGAGGATAACTATATGTTTTTCCTTGGGTTCACCTTCTTACTTAGCTTCTTTAGATTCACCTATTGTAGACTCTGTGACCCTTATTTATGGCTAGAAACCAATTATGAGTGAGTACATCCCATGTTCATCTTTTTGGGTCTGGGATACCTCACTCAGGATAGTGTTTTCTATTTCCATCCATTTGCATGCAAAATTCGAGAAGTCATTGTTTTTTACCGCAGCGAAAAAAAAAAAAAAAGAAAGAAAAGTGATTCAAGCAAGTTTTGGGAACATAAATCTAAAAGGGACCTTCTCTTCTGTTTTTGAGATTATTATTTGATTCCAACATTGCTTCCTCCCCTTCCCTCCATCCACACCCTCCCATTTACCCTTCCTTACTCTCTTTCAAACTCATGACCTCTCTTTTTATTCTCACATGCATATATGTACATACATATATGTTCCTAAATATAACCTGCTCAGTCCATATGTTACTTGTATGTATGTTTTCAGGGCTGAAAGGCAGGCTTTTTTAATTGCTGGGTTCTGTGGAGAGATATGAGCCAAAGCCTGTAAGGAAGAGCAGTGTGGGAAAGAGCCTGGGCACTGGGTCTACATCCCTGCTGATGGGAAGCAAGTACAGAGCACAGAACGTGGGGACGGCCTTCTCATTCCTCACAATATTGCAGAGACTGTCCCTTCCTAATTCCTGAGCTCTGTCCGGAACCACCTCCCTGACTACTCACTCTGATATGTCAGCATCTTCCTGTTCCTCAAATGAATCAATGCATTCTTGATGTTTTCAATTGTATTTACTTATTTGCTTTTGACTAGAATGTTCTTCCTCAATAGCAAGATTCTTCTGGGCCCTCAGTTTTGAGCTGGCCTCAGAGAGGAGTCTGGCTTCACTTCTAAAGCACTGCAGATGGCAGCAAAGCAACCCCTCGCTGCAGTGTCCTGTTTTCTTCTACAGGGAAGCTAGCTGTGGCTACTCATTTTCTTGTCTGTTATCTTTCCTTTTCCCAACACAATGGGAGCATAGTGAACAAAGACCTTACCTGTCTTGTTCATTACTGTACTCAGCACAAAGAGTTCTATACCTGGCACATACCAGAAGTTAGATAAATATTGGTGAAAGGAATACATAACTAGTGGAATATGCATCTTATGAATAAGAGATTTGGTTGATTAATTTTTTAAACAAGATAGATTTTTAAAATGCTTTTCTAGAATTGACTTGACTGCATTGTCTTGCCAGGACTAGCAAAGGCTGGTGAATTCCGAGTAGGCTATAGGACACTGTGTGGTGAGGGCGGAGGAGCTGTGTTTTCTGTTTCAAACACAAGATGGCACTGGCGTCTTTTCAACAACTGGGGATATGCTGACCAGGGAAGCTGCCTGGGCTCAGAAAGAGGCCTTGGTTGTGCTCCAACCTCATACCCATATGCAACACTGGCCCTGGCATTGAAACGTGCGAAGCCAGATGTATGAACACCAGAGTTGCCCTGGAAGACTTCAGTCATTTGATAATGCTGGTGCTTGCACCAAACTATCACCACTACCTTGTTGATCGCAGCCTATCCCAGAGAAAGAACTTTATTTACCCAGCTGCATATTAGGACTGAAATATTCATGCTGCTATGCCTGTGTGTTTATACCTCCCTCAGAAGAACAGTCTTCATAATGCAGTGTCCTGATCTTACTCAAAGCAGATGTGTTCTAAGAACAACCTGGAGTTCAGAATCCGTGGATCTGAACAGTGGCTGCTACTCCTGCCCCCTTTGTCTTGAGTTTTCAAAATCACTATTCTATTCTAAAGTTTTCATGTGTTTTTCTCAATTAGAAAACATGCATGCAGCTGTGATTTGAGTCACTTTTGGTTACTCTATTGAGAGGAAGATTCTATAATATCATCTTCAGAATAAATATCTGCAATCTGGTTATCTGAGCTATACTGCTTTGTACAAAATCAGGAGCCACTTAAGCACCAGTGTGAGGAGTGTCATTTCGTGTCCACTATGAGTTGCTCAAACTACTGTTTAATAGCTTTAATAGAACTTTGAAATATAATACATGGGCCCACATTCTAAACTAAAATAACAAAGATAAATGCTGTGGACTATGACATTGAGGGATCTGATTTGTAGGCATCTACCAATAGAGGTGCATTAGTGGATTTCCCAATCTAGGCACCCCTGTGAAAACATGATCTAGAGAAGTGCCAGTATCCTGCAGGCAGTGGTCAGGCTACAGCTGGAGACTCTGTGAACATGCATCAGCACTCTTAGACTTGACTTTGCCCCTGCATCTTGACAGAGATTCACATGAGAGAGCCCATCTCCGCATGGAAGCCTGTCGCAGGATGCCCAAGTATGCCTGGCAGGACCCTTCGTTCAACCTTGCTGATGGCGACAGCCTTCCAAAGAAAACGGACAAAGAGCTCCTGGAAAATGTGCAACCCCAAAAGAAACACAGGTAAAGTTTGCATGGGATTCTTGTTGGAAGGTTCTGTCTGGTCTTAGCTCTCCTCCTGCGGCTACAAGCACATTCCTTAACATCTTTACTTTGGCTGCTGTGTGTGCCCGTGTGCACATTCTTCTCTTGTGATGCTAATCACAGCATCTGTGACATGTCGGATGGACATGTTCTTTACCCCTCAGCTCCTCCTGTGCAGGCTGACATGATGTTTGGGTGTCTGATGGACTCTTTCTACTAAACGGTAGTTCCAGCCACCTTTGACTCCTGAGAACTTAGAATCGGAACACTTGTATTCATTGGACGAGCATGTGGATAACTTACTAAAGCCTTAACTAGGATGTTCTTAATACCTTAAGAAGCTAGGAAAATACAATTTTTCCTTTTAAACATTTTTGTTCTGGGTGTCATCCAATGAAATGTTAGGAATATAACATGCATTGTATTTTTCCACGATCTTTAGATATTTGTTTGGTGTTATAGTGGCTACTAGCACATGTGAGTTAAACAGTTTCCACAGATTTAGCCATTACCATTAGAGCACACACACAGTGGAGGCTTAATAGAGCTTTTGGATTAATATGTCAGTGTATTTCGATGTTGATGATATGTCACACATATGCTTAATGTTTTGTGGTCCTTAAGTAAGAGATTTCTTTAAATTAACTTCCTGGCATTTCCTCATTCTGTTATGATAGTTCTTCGCTGAAATTTTGGAGCCCAGAACCCAGCAGCAAGAAGAAAAAATATTTCAGTTTGCACAGAACACAATTACTCCCTGTTTTCATTCTGCACGCCTCTTCCCTGCCTCCTCATTTTGTTTGAATTTCACCTTTTCTTCCTTAGCTATACTGCTTTCCATTTGAACTTGCTTTCTCTTAGCTGGCAAATTTTTCAAATGATCTCTTAAATAAACATTTATTTCTTTTAAAAAATGAATTCAGGATTCTACTTTAAATTTTTTAAATTAACCTCTCTCTCTCTCTCTCTCTCTCTCTCTCTCTCTCTCGTGTGTGTGTGTGTGTGTGTGTGTGTGTGTGTGTGTGTGTGCCATATCTGAGTATAAGCTGGTGGAGGCCAAAAGAGGATGTTGGATTCCTGGAGCTGTGTTGTGAGAAGCTGTGGGCTGCGTTCCTGCTGCCTGGCTCCTGGCCACCAGCTAGTTTATGCCCCGAAATAATTACACGAAAACTGTATTCTTTTAAACACTGCCTGGCCCATTAGTTATAACCTCTTATTGGCTAGCTCTTACATATTGATCTAATCCATTTCTAATAATGTGTGTAGCACACGAGGTGGCTTACCAGGGAAGATCTTAACCTGCAGCTGTGTCAGGTGGGAGAATCATGGCGACCGACTGACTCGGCTTCTTTCTCCCAGCATTCTGTCTGTTTACTCCACCCACCTAAGGGCTGAACTATCAAATGGGCCAAGGCAGTTTCTTTATTAATTGAAAGTAACTCCTCCATCAGAGCTGGGGTTAGAGGTGTCTGTGAGCTAAGTGTTGGATGTAGGTGCTGCAGACCGAGCTCAGACCCGTTAAAGGAGCAGCCAGCACACATCACTGCTGACAAATCTCTCCAGCCACAGGGTTCTACCTTCCACCCCAGCTTAGAAGCACATTGCTGATGGCCTCACTGCTGTCCTTTGGTTCTATTCATCACTGCAAGTTAACACACAGCCCACAGGCAGCTCTGACCAGCAGAACTTAGCATCTCCAGTGCATACACTTCCGGGGCCATTTTTGGGTCACTAACAGGCTTTTTTTTTAACCTTAGCCATTTCCCAAAGCACAGTAAATTGCAGAAGCTGCAACATCAGGAATTTGAATACAGAAATAGGCGAATCATTAGCTTTGCTGCTCCTCAGTTGGTCCTGGGTGTACAGGGCTGCAAACCCCGGTCAGGCACAAGGGTCGTTTTGGTGGAGAAGAAATCTGACGATGGGAACCAACGCTGGACACATAAGGAAGAAAGCAGGTAAACCCCCTGAATTTTGAGGTTTATACACCAAACTGGATGAACAATGGCTCAGTGGTTACAAACACTGGCTATTTTTCCAGAGGACCTGGGTTCAATTCCCAGCCCCTACATGGTGGTATACTGCCATCCGTAACTCCACTCTGGCCTCCACAGACCCTGAGTGCACGTGGTGCCTTTGCAAATACTCAATACACATAATATCCATCTAACTGCGAATGAGACCCTAAGTGATCTGCCATGCTCTCCACATAGCAAGCAGGAATAGAGTTGAGGAACTGGGTTTTCTATTTTACTGGGTGAAAATTCTTTATTCTTGTCAAAGAAGAGACAGAGACATAAACAAAAAATTTAGGTAAGCTACACACAACTTAACAACTGCTAGATTAGATAAGACATCATTTATTTCTGAGTTTCATCTAGCCATTGCCTCAAGACTAGATACTCATCATTTCTCGTTGTGACAGGAAGAAATCAGATATGAATTCTAAAGTATTCCTAATTTTTAAGTATTTTGGGACCTTTGTTTATTCAATCCCTCTCCCTGTTTCCCTTCACAGTTTTCATTCATAAAAAGAACAAGTGATTTCTAGTCATACAGAGAGCATTTATTCCTGCTTTATCAAATGTATTAGCCTAATTCAGTGTCTGACCATGTCTCTATATTCAAAATGATCAAACATTTTCTTGAGAAGATCAGAAAAAATCAGACAATTTGGCTACTTGATTATAGTAAGAAAATATTATTGATCTTGTTGCATATCATAATTGGTCAATGCCTGTGTTGAGATAAAAAGAGGGCCTTGGCCAATTAAGTTTATATTCTATTTAGAGATAAAAATATGAGATGTTAAATGAGCTTTATTTTAGGCATTCTAGCAAGGGTTTAGAGAAACGGCTTAGCAGTTAAGAGTACTTGCTATTCTTGCCAAGGACCAAAGCTCAGTTCCCAGCACCCACAGAAGAGTGGGCCCCAAACTATCTTTATTTCAAACTCTGGGAGAGCCAACATCCTCTTCTGACCTCTGTAGACACTTGAACGCACATGTGCATGCATATAGCAGACATGTATTTATTGTGTAAACACAGAACCAATGATAAATAAGTCATAAATTCTAGTAAATATAAAAGTATCAAAAGCTGAGATATAGATGGAACAAGATAAAATGTTGACAGTGTTTCAGTTCATGTTTTATTACACATTTCTCTTTGTTTTGTGTATGTTTGAACATTAATTTAACCAGAAAACATAACTTCCTGCTTTTTTAGACTAAAATTCTACTATGACATATCGTGGAGCTCTAGTGAACTCCTCAGCCTTTTTTATAATGTACAGGATATATTTTTATATTATGCAAAATATTTCTTAATGGGAAGGAGCTGTGACTTTCATTGTATTTATGGAGCAGACTGCCCATGGTTTGGGTTCTGTGCCTTGAGGGAGACAGAATAACCGTTGGGAGGCAGCATCAGCAATCCTGGCATGGCAGGAAAGGAGTTAGCTCTACTCCACCATTTCCAGGGTGAGTACAACAGACAGCAGGGAATGGTCATTGGTTGTGTGTTAAAGGAGCTGGAGAGTGATCTGATGGACAGAGATGTTGGTCTGTTTCTTCACCCCATCCATCAAGGCTATGCTGCCTGTGATGAGGAGCTAGGAGAATAGGCTTTTATTCCCGCAAGCGACTAGTTATATGAACCACAATTCACTCATTCAGCTGACACTATATGTTCATCAGAGGGAAAATCTACCACGATGTTACAGCCCTCAACATTTACGAACTCAAATGTGAGGCACCCAGTTTAATAAAAGAAATGCTATTCCATCCAAAATTCCCACCGACCGTGACACAGTGATGGTGAGTGACTTCAGTTCCGCGCTCTCACCAGCAGACGGGCCACCCAGACAAAAACTGAATAAAGAAATCCTGGAGTTCAAGATTATCATAAATCAAATGGGCCAACAGACGTCTACAGAGCATTCCACCAAACACTAAAGGAAACAGTTTCTTCTCAGCAACCCATGAACCTCCTTTTAAACTGACCACATATTAGAATACATAGCAACTCTAAGCAAAGTTAGGAAAACTGAACTACCATCCTGCATCCTGACCACCACAGATGAAGGCTATGGGTCATTGAAGACATTGTTTTAGGGGTGGAACTTCAGAAAAAAACTAAAAAGATCAAGATTCTTGTTCCTCTGGAGCTAGACCCCTAGAGTACAAAGATATATGCACTACATTTAGTGGTTCTATCTGCCTTGTTTTTCTGGATCATGGTAAAGTTCCTGTGATTGTTTTTCTAAAAATTAAAAATAGACTTTTTTATATGATATATTCTTAATATGGTTTTCCCTCCCCCAACTCCTTCTAGATCTTGCCCAACACCCAAGCTACCCACCTCCACACCTTTCTGTCTCTCTCCCTTTAGAAAACAAACTAGAATAGAATAAAACAAACAAACTACCAAGAGAAGATGGACTGAAGTAAAAACATATGAAACAAATATAGACATAGACATATACACATTCACATGCACAGAAATCCCATTTTAAAATCCAGAATTTTCTTAGATCTGGATGCAGGCATGACTGAGTGCAGGTGAACATGGTGGGGGTGACCATGTGACTCTGACTTGGGCAAGCTTGGAAGTGCTTCCGTGGCCATTGTGAGAGAGATACCTATGGCTCTGAGTCCTGGTTAGCTAGGTCATTTGTTCTTCTGGGTGCTGGAGAGAAAGGAGCCGAGAAGGCGGTTAAAAACAGGAAGAGAAATTTGCCTAAAACTGTTAGCTGATGGGCTATGAGCAGTTCTGAAAACTCTAGCCATGGGTAACACTAAAGTCTGTTTTAGTCTTCTGGAACTCTACAACTTGACCATCTTGAGACTATCCTGTGTCAAACCATGGGGAAATGAGGGGTAGTTGGTGGGGATAGTTGGCTGCTATAATGCTTTTGTTTTTCCCTGTTTTGACAGTACCATTAATTGGTACTTACCAATAGCAGAGAAGTATTTCCTTTCTGTAAGAAGCATGTGCTTATGAAACTTCCACATGAAGCCCCTATATACAAAAGAGCAAGGTGGAAACAATGTGCCCCAATGATCTCAAGATGAATGTAATTTCAAGCATTAAGTCATAAGCGAATCTATTCTGGGTAATGTGGACCCTAAGGTAGTGACATCTCAGGGGGTCGCTGCAGGAAATCAGCAATCATCTGATCATTTGAATATTATTGAGTGCCAATATACATGTAAGAAATACACATGTATGAAAACAGCTGAGCCCACAGAGGTGAGGTCTTGCAGGACCAAACCCTGACATATGCTGAAGAGGCATTTCAAAAAATAAAATATCCATTTTGGAAATTCAGTGGTACCCCATTAACTAACTATGGAGGAGAAAATAGATTGTAAGATTAGATGACCATCTTTTACCCATATGATGGGCTTTAAGTTTTCTATTTTCCAGAACTTTGTGATTCTTTACAATAAGGGTGTGTTGTTTTTATTCTCAGAAAATTGAATAAGCTATCTGAACATTTTTTAAGTCTTAAAAAAATATATTCTATATTATATATGTAATATATATATATATATATATTCCCCATTTTCTCTCTGTCCTTTTATTCTCACCATTACATTTTATATTCAAGATAGGTTACTTATATTTTCAATGACAGAAATGCCACCACCATTGACAACTCCACTTTCGGAGGATACAGGACCCTCTGCTGACCTCCATCTGCACCAGGCATGCAAATGGCATATGGAAAAACATGCAGGCAAAACACACGTGAAAACAAATGAATAAATCTTAAAAAAAAAAACTCAACATAGGGGCTAGAGAGAGAACTAAGCAGTTAAGAACATTCCCACTCTTCCGGAGGACTGAAGCTTGGGTCCTAGCACAGACATCGGATGGCTTACAGCCCTAGCTCTGTGGTGATTAGCTCCCTCTTTTAGCCTCTGATGTGGGAGTGTCATATATAAATCTTTTGATTTCATTGGTTAAGTAATAAACAAACTGCTTAGGCTCATAGCTTAGAACATATGTGGGTGGAGTAAACAGAATAGACTGCTGGAAGGAAGAGGAAGTGAGCTCAGAGACATCATGCTCCCCTCTCCCGGATAGATTGACAGCTCTGCTCTCTGGAGAGAGATGCCATCTTCTCCTCTCCTGGGCAGACACACGTGATGAAGCTCCGACCCAGGATGGACGTAGGCTAGAATCTTCCGGGTAAGGCACCTCGGTGCTACACATTATTAGAAATGGGCTAGTCCAGGTGCGAGAGTTAGCTGAGAAGAGGCTAGATATGATGGGCCAAGTAGTGTTTAAGAGAATACAGTTTCCGTGTAATTATTTCTGGTAAAGCTAGCTGTGCAGGCGGCCGGGGTGCTGGGGACGCAGCCCCGCCGCTCCTATTTCAACAAGCCTCCAGAGGCTTGCACACACACATGAACATATACAAGTATACTCACCAATAAAATCTTTAAAATGCTCAACATATATCTTGGGTTTTAGAAAATCTCCTTTGGAAACATGAGAATTTAATAGAAAAATACATATTAAGATTTATTTTATCCATTATGTGTCTCTCTGTGTGTAGGAATGAGCATATAAGTGCAGGTGCCTGTGGAGGTCAGAGAAGGTACCCAAGCTCCCATGACTGGAGTTACAGGCGGTCGTGGGTCAGTGTGGCGCCTGGGAACTGAACTTGAGTCCTCTGGAAGAGAAGTATGTGCTCTCGACAGCTGCACCATCAATCCAGCCCCAGGAAAATACTTTAAAAAGCCAAGCAAATGCACAATTACAACTAACGGTTTCCCTTATGGTATTTACTTTTATATGCATTAACTCACTCAACTCCCGCAGGGTGCACACTATTCCAGTGCACAGATGGATAAATTGAAACATGGAGTTAGTTAATGCCATACAGTACTAAGAGATGGTCCCAGGATTCCATCACATGCAGCAAAACTATAAACTCCATTTCATCATCTTCAGTGCTTCTCAGTAATAGCAAGAGTGGGCGATAAAGATGAATCCGGGCAGGTAGAATCTAGAGAGAGAAACCGTACCATAATTTAAATAGGGTACATAGATTATGAGGAATTATTAAACATGATAAATACTAACTATTGTTTATACATTCTACATAAATTATTATATGGATAATATCTATATTGGACTATCATAACTTATTTGTTCTGATAAGATGGTGAGACCTAAAGAAAACTGGGTTTCTACATAGCAGAAATTTATAGAAATTCCAATTATATTAACCACAGTCTGTTACATAGTGGGACCAATTCTGTCTTCTTAAGGACCTTTCACCTCGTGAGTAACCCTGACCTTGTACTGGCAGTGTCTATGACCAAGGCTCAGAATGAAGCCCAGGGCTATCCCGTTATCATTCAGGTAAGATACGCACAGGCCAACAAGAAGCTATACCCTTTCAGGAAGCTGCAGTGAGACGCCATGCCCCCTTGTTACAGAGCAAAGGGATAGCTGTCCTAGAATGTTGTTTTGAATGTTACTGTTAAAATACTTTTTGTAATACCCTGTCTAGACTTCAAATTGAGTATGTTGAGATACCTCAGTTGGGTTCATTCTGGTCAATGGTGAATATAGGCTTGCTGGTAGTCAAAAGTGGGAACAGTTATTACAGTCACACACTGGCAAGCAGGAGAAACTGTCCCTACAGATTTCCAGAAGCTTACAACCTCAGGGAGTGATGGCTCTTTGGTGCACCTAAATGTATTGATGGGGAGCACAGGCAAGGTCCCATGGCGTAGATATTGGAGGAAGAGACCTTGTCCTTCTTTTGGGAGGTCATGAGCCCACAGTCGTAATTCTGCTACTGCACTTGCAGTACCTCTAACGCAGGCTTCATTTGAGTTTGGGACAGAGACCCTGAAGCTCTTTCCTGTCACCCCTCCTTAGAACCAAACACCCACAAATGGACGTGTGATGCTCCCTGATAGGCCAAGGAACAGCTTAGGAGCGTCCCAGCTCTGCATCTGCCTTCTGGAAGCTGCACCCTGGTTTCCACCAAACAGCATAATCATTTCCACATAACATTTGCTTTATTCTGTGTTTTTTAATGAGGAAACTTGTTTTGCAGTTTGGAATCCCAAATCAGGACACAGCAATCTGGATAGATTCTGAAGTTCGCTTAATTAAGTTTTCTGTCCTTGTGGTAAATAGGAACTAGACATTTGTGCTGAAGACGCAGCACACATGGCCTTTCATGTTTCCTATGGGGGCCTCCTCAACACGGGCCACAGCTAGGTGAAGCCTCACGCGGCTGCACATTCCATTCCCTACTCATTTTCATAACAGTTGGAGATATGAATGTCACCCCCAATGTGTCTTAGTTTATAAAGAATAAACTTAATCATAAGGTAATTCAGACTAACTTCCAAGGTATCTTCCCATTACCAGCACTTCCATTTTATGTATTAAATAATAAGTTTTTGAGAAAACATTCATGTATCTATAAGTGGAAACGAGTCCCTTCAGGTTAATACCGGTAGATCCTTTCCTGTTGCTTGAGAATTTAGCCTTTGGTTCTCCAGATCGTGGAGGGACCTCTGTTGTCTGACCCACTAAATTAGTGCTAAGAGCTTCAATGCTGCTTATATCTTACCAGGCACAGTAGTTATTATAAATTATAAAGTTCCTTGAGGCATGATATGCTTTCCTGTTGCTAACCTGCCGGCTTATGTCTATTTAATTACACTTGAGATAACTCATAGAATGCTATAATCAAATAACAAAATTACTTTCCAGAATAATGCAAGCAATAGAATTAAAACACATATCCTGTTTCTATTACATAGTTTAGCTACATTTTTAAAGCTGGGTTTTGAAAATCTCACTTCCTTTAATATCAATCAAACGCATATTGAGATGTCAACAAATTGTGTTTTCATTTAGTGAGTTGGTGTTTAGGGAGATATTGTGCATGCATGTTGGACAAGAACATAAAAATAATAGGTAAATTCAAATACAGTTGGGAAAGCAGAACGTCAAATAATGTTTCTAAAAAATGCTGTTCTGGTCAATATCATAATCTTTTAAATGATCTAAGCAATAATCATTCTAGAAACTTTTCCTAAAATATTTTCATGATTTACACACATGCGCACACACAAAGAGACACACAGACACACACACACACACAGACACACACACACACAGACACACACACACACACACACACACATACACACACCACAGATATGACACATGCACACATGGTCATTATTCTGCCAATTTATTTATTAGAGGGAATGTTTAAAAAATGTCCTGCAGGTTCAACTATTTAGGAATTTCCCTAATTTCCTAAGTATTATTTTTCTAAGAAGAAATAATTAATGTTCCTTTAAAATGTCAGAAAAAAACACAAAATAGTGTTAGAAGTCAAAAATAGTGGAATTACAAAATTTTAATTAGTTTGTTTTTTGGGTTTTGGTTTTGAGAATCAAGTACGTTTAATGTTATGTAGCTTTGTGTGTAATTCCTAAATATTGACAGTAACTATCATTTACAGTAAGTTATGAGTAATTGTATTTCTAAATTTATCCAGTAAAAAATTTTTTTTCTGCTCCACCATCTTACAAACTCGCCCATCTTTCTGAGTCCATATTTTGTCACTCTTTCATTTTTTAGAAATACAAGCCATACAGCAATGGGGCTGCCAATCAAAAGTGGCATTACGTGGCAAATACAAGAACATTTATAGCCTTTCACAGCACTGCCCTGGATCGGAAAATCACAGCAGCCAATTCCTCCGGCCTTTGTACATCATCTGTCACTAAAGAAAACATTGATCAACCCGTAAGTAGTTCTCTCTTCCCAAAGAAGGAAGAAAAATAGGGTCAATTAATAAAGCAGGAGGTTTCCCCCCATGGGAAAGCTTAAGTTCATATAAGGCTGAACACTAATTTGCTTGCTTCAGACAAGGTCTTGCTACAGAGGCCAAGCTGGCTTCTGACTGGCAACCCTCCTCTCTCAGCCTCCAAAGGTGGGATTACAGGTGTGCACCACCGTGCCTGGCATGAATGCTGATTTTTGATGAGATCACTTAGACTCTGGGATTTTTAATAGGAAAGAATGAAATGAAATTATGAAAAGTAGAATAAATTACATCCTCTATCTAAAACTACTTGTTTTACTGTGGAAAATTTTATACATATTCTAAAGTAGACACTAGTACAGTGAATCTTGATTGATGCATCACATTCGTTAAGATTTGGACACTTTTGCTAATCCCAGATATGATATTATTTTACCTCTATATTAAGCATGCAGTTTTATAATTTTGATCATTTTTGATAAAATCATCATGCCATTGTCATGATTAATAAAATGAACAGTGGCATTTGGGCAGTATAATAAACTATTTTTTACCAAATTTTCTAGGTTGTCCTAAAAATTCATTTTTATCGTTGGTAGTTTGAGTCAAGGTTGAGAAAAGACCCTCAGGTGGGATCAGGTTCACAGCATGGTCCATAGGCAGGCAGCACGCTCTGACTTGGGTACCATTTGACTTGGTTCTCTTTCTCCATGATCTCTGTAAATAGGATTCACAGTAAAGTTGTTGTTAAACCTATGCTTACCATTTTCTACAGAGCCTTCACAAATTGCCATGTGTTCTTCAGATACTCAGGTCTCTGAAGCCTATACCTAACTTCCGTTTTTAATGATGCTTTAGTGGTTTGAAGGAATTTCTCCTCAGACCAATACCTGAAAATTTCTCAATGTCTATTCATCTAATGTCATCATTTTGCTTCAAATCAGTCAATTTTATCTCTATATCAATTAGCTAAAGATTTAATAAGAATATTACCTCATTATAATATTTCAGTAGTCAAAAATACGGTTTGAAAGAAAAGGCAGAGGAAATGTGTGATTCTTTCTTGCACATCTACTTAATCAACTGAAAAAAAAACATATATTCCTTGTGAGGTGGCAATTTGGGTTGAGCTCTGCCGAGCAGCTCTGCTGGTCTTGACAAGGGCTGCAAACGTGGCTCTCATCTTCTTGTGGATTTTTAGTGTATGAGGACTGGAGAGTCCAAGATGGAGTCTCCCACAGGTGTTGACTCTCCAACCATTCCACTTCTCATGAAGCTTGGTCCAGTGAGTTCTGTGTGACCTCAGGGCTCCAACTGTAGCTACAGAGCCAGGCGCTACAGTGCAAGCTCCTTTCATGCACCTGCTTGCCTCTTACATCGGCTGTCATTGGGCCAACGTCAGGACATAGCTTGCTCACAAACACAGAAGAAAAGCACCGTACCTCCTGACCAGAGGAACGGTAATGTCACCAGTTGAAAGGGCATGTGAACAGCATTGGAATGGTTTTACTGTAGCCACCTTTAGAAATAATTTGCTACACTAATAGCCACATGGCTAGTTTTCAAGTCAGTGCCTACCAACCACAATTATTTTTGCATGATGTCAAATGAGGTCCCACCCCTGCTTCATTCTTTACTTGTTATGAACTCCTGTGAGCTTACATACTCAAATCCAGTCACACTTTTCGAATTGTTCTTTCTAGTCTCAAATTGCCCTTCTTTGAGTCAGTTGGGACACTTATTTTTGCTCTTGCATTTTTTTCAATTTTATTCCTTAACTCCAGGATAGATTAGTTTCTGTGCACAACAAGATGTCCCTTATATACAAGATGTTATATTGTAGTTTTTCTGCCTCCGAAGAGGTACTGGTCATTCTTCAAAGAAATCTTGATTTTATATAGAAGTTAGGGTTCTCAGTATTGCATAGTCATTATAAAGTTAAGGAATACTTTTAAAATTTTTAATTACTGGGGCTGGTCAGCTAGCTCAGCAGATAAAGCATTTGCTGGCAAACCTGAAGACCCAAATTCAGTCCATGCAACCCACATGATGGAAAAAGACAACCAATTCCTGCAAGGTGTCCTCTGACCTCCACCCATATGTACCCTGCCCCCAGCATACACACGCCAAATAAATAAATACATGTAAAAACTTAATTATTGAGAAGCATAATAATGCATTTGGGTTGTGGTTTTAAATTTAGCATTTGATGATGACAAATGTGTTTTCCTTGTGCTGTGAAGAGTTCTGCAAAAAATGCCTTCATGGTTTAGGAGCCCCACATGGAAGCATCTTTTCTGGTATTTTAGGGATACTGTTACCTCTCACCCGATGGAAAGAAAAAACTGATGCTCTGCCAGGCTTGTGGACAGTCCATGCGGGCAGAGAAGGGGTTGAAACAGCTGCTTCCAGGCGCTCCATTCTTCTGTGTTTCCGGCTCCCAGCAGAAGTCCTTGCCACGAAAGCCATTCAAGGTCATCAGCGTTGACAAGGTACTTCCCCACTTATCCAGCTGAGCTCTGCTACTGCCCACGTGACGATGATTTGGAAACTTGGGTGCATTTAGATTGGCCTCACATCCAGGTTCACTTCCACGCGTGCACTTCATCTTCCTCAGAGGCACCTTCCCATCCTGCCAACATTGATTCCTTTATCCTAATTGCAATTTAAATTGCATTGTCTTCTAATAGTTCTCTTCAGCCTTTGGAGTGAATGGGGCACTTTTGCAGCTGTAGGCTGCCGACACCTTTCCCTTCTCTTTGTGTAGCCTTTAGGTCGGGAAGTGACTTTGAGTCTTTGCTTAGCACAGCAGCATTTGCTCTATGTGGATAGGAGAAGCTCCTTTTTTATGAGCATGGTGCATTTCAGGGAGGATTTGACATGTTGTTGTTAGTAGCAGTTCAGGCTAGGTGGCAGAATTCATGCATCCATACCTAATACCATTTAGAAGTTCTAGGGGTGATGGTAGGGGACTAACTCTGCCACATTCTGTGACCTTAATTTTAAATGACACCATTTTAAAAAAGAAAATCCTCCCTTCAACTTGAACAGTGTTGTTGGAGGCTGCTTGTTGGTTCCCAGCCGCCTGGCTAGCTTGGACCTGAAATAATCACACAGAAACTGAATTAATTAAATCACTGCTTGGCCCGTTATCTCTAGCTTCTTATTGGCTAGCTCTTACATATTAATTTAACCCATTTCTATTAATCTGTCTATCACCACGTGACTCTGGCTTATTAGCTAAAGTTTCCAGCTTCTGACTCTGGTGGTGGCTCCATGGCTTCTCTCTGACTTTGCCCTTTTTTCTCCCACCATTCAGCCTAGCTTCCCCTGCCTACCTAAGTTCTGACTTGCTATAGGTCCAAAGCATTCATTAATGGTAATCACAGCACACAGGAGTGACTCCCACATCACCTCCCCTTTTCTGTTTAAATAAAAAGGAAGGTTTTAATTTTAACATAGTAAATTACATATAAAAAGCGGTATCAAACAAGAATTACAGTTACAATATTTATATCTACTTTATCTTTTATCATAGCTAAGGAAAACTGTAACTATAATTATAAATTCTTCAACTCCATCAAAGACTCCAGAAGGATATAATATTACCAAAGTGAACAGGAAGTGCATTGTAAGCAACTTCTGAAACTCTAGAATTGATAGAGACATCTTGCTACCTGGACAGTCACCCAAAAAAGTTCTTCTGTATTATTGGGGCATCCATCTTCAGTCTACAGGCCCACAGTATCCAGCAGACTTTTTCACGAAGCAGGAAATTTCAAAGACAGTTCTGCCTATATTGGCAGTTTGTCAGTCACTTTTTTTCTATGTCCTGCAGAATGTCTAGCAGACTCTTTCATGAAGCAGGAACCCCGAAGGATTATCTCACCTTTAGGCAAGTTCAGCAGTCATTTGTCTGTGGGTCCTGCATGTCCAGTTAAGCAGTCCAGGCAAGAACAGTTTCTTGCCCAAATGGCTAACCAACTCCATAAGAAGTCTCTTCAATGCCCATCTTTCTCTTGAAGTAATTTGGTGCTTCCAGGAACACATGTGTCTCACTGTCATGAAAAGTACTAAATTCTTAAAACACTTTAAATGCCATATTCTACAGTCTTTGAAAGATTTGAGGAATTCCTATCCATCTGAAATACTTCTCTGTACATCTAGAAAATCTAACTTACATGACTACAAGCTTGACTACTACAAATGATTCTCTATTTATCTGTATTTCTTAATTATACATTACATTTTTAAATGAGATGTACAATCACATTACCTTAATCAAGAGCAGATATATATGTATACATATACATACAGTATAACAAAATAAACCTTAAATTTGTATCAATCAACCAAGATCAATACTAATGCAAATCTCTATAGCATATCACCTTTTAAATATAAAGAAACATTTATAGACAAGATTTAGGAATATGGGTGTAGTTTTCTCCACACTGCCTCCTGCTGATTGTTGGGTGTAGTAATTTTTGGGAGTGTTCACAGCGACCTTTGTGGGGTTGTGTTTCATCAAACCACACCAGTCTCCATAGGTTCTCATCCTCTGTGGAAACAACAGAAGAGCCTCTTTTCCAAAGCAACATATATTTAGATACAAATTTGGAAGTCACGATACCTTTATAGTATACATGCTGGTTTAGCTTAGCAGCCCATTTAATGAAATGTCTATCTGTACTTATTCATAGTCAAAAAATTCAAAGATAACACAATAATACACATAATCCAGACTCTCTGTGAATTTCATCTTTATATGGCTTGTTTTTACTCTATTACTTTTTAATATTTATTTTATTATCTTTACTACTTTAATCTATGACTGTCTATACTCTATCTCTTTAAAAACTTTATACTTTCATTAAAAACCACTTACTTCTTTTCCAAATATCTATACTCTTTGTCTTCTTTCCTCCAAGCCTATGCACATTTATCTAACATTGTCACCCATTTAGACGTCTTTTATGTCTAAATCTGTCCTACTGTGTATCTGTAATTGTGTATCTGTGTATCTTTATTTTTAAGGAGTGCTTTTTTTAAATTTTAGCTGCTTGTCAATAGCTCAGGGTTATTACTGATTTAGCTCTTACAGCTTAAATTAAACCATTTCTATTAATCTATGGTCTGTTACATGGAGTTACCTTTCTTTCATCTTTATTTTTATTTTTATTGAGCTCTACATTTTTCTCAGCTTTTCTTCCTACCTCTCCCCTTCAACCCTCTCCCAAAGCCCCATGCTTAAGGAATGCTTTTTAAAATGCTAAGTGCTTTTTAAAACTTAAGCTGCACCATTACAACGGTATATACATTACTACCAGCTTGCCCAACCCAGCCCAGCATGGCAGAGCTGCTTGCTGCCTCTGAGAGCCATGCACAATGCCACATCTCTAGGCATACAGCTGGTCCATGTTGTCACCAAGCAAGCTGTAGCATATTGCTCACAACTCCAATTCAAATACTTGGTTTCCCCAAAGAGTCAGAGTTCATGCTAGCAGCGCTGCCCACAGCCAGGAAGCTGCTATTTTGAAAGTGCAAGTGGCTGCTACCACTGAGTCAGTAAGACCTCTCTTTAAAAAGCCATGCTTCTGCTTGCTTCTAGCAAACAGAGCCCACCCAAGAAAATGCTGCTACCAAACCTGCCTACATAAGTTCTGCCTTGTTATAGGTCCAAAGCAGTTTCTTTGTTCATTAATGGTAATCACAGCACACAGAGGGGACTCCCACATCACAGTGTAAAGAACTGGGGGTGGGGTGGGGGAAGGGTGGATTTAAACAGCAGAATAAAAAGGAGGTAATCCTAAAATGTCGCAGCCTGCCAGCCTGGTGTGCCCCTCAGAAGTCACCTGCCTGTCTCCAGACCTCACTCCTCTGTCTCCCAAAACTGGTTTTATACTAAAGATGGACAGTGACAGGTTGTAGTAACCTGGAAAGAGAAAGGAAGCAGTCATCTGGAAGCCAGAGGGTATTTGGTTTTGCAGAGGTAACTGGGAAGGACCCTCTACATTATAATAGTTCAGCCAGGGCCTGTGCATCTTGGCAGGCTCCTAGTCAGGACACTGGGGAAAGCTTTCTAAGGGATGTTCTACCCTCCTCCTTCATCTTTCACCAATGGATGGCCTCCTTCTAGAGTTGTTCATTAAGAAAGTATCTGTAGTGTTCATATTCCCTTACTTCTATCCCAGGTTCTCTTTGGTCCTGGTCTCCTTTCTTCCACAACCCAAACAAACATACAGCAACATTTAAAGAAAACCAAAGCAAGTCAGAAAGACAGACCAACTGCTCAAAAGTCAGTGAGAGGGCTAGAAAGAGAACTGAGGAATTTTGGCCCAACACTCTTCCTCCTCTACACCAAGTATCTAGAGTACATAAAGAAGACACTATAAAACGTAGGTCTACCACATACACACATATGCAGACTTTAAAAAGGGGGAGTAGAGATATGCCAAGATAACAAAACAGAAACAATTAAATTTGTGTAAATGATATTTTTTTAAACAAACCAGGCTGATTTATCTTCTTATGAAGCTGAAAACACTCTAAGATATTACGAAGAGCGTCTGTCATCTTTATGGATGAAGGCACGCACATGCACTACATCCCACAGTGGCGTGGTACCTTCCTACCAAAAGGCAGTGAAAATAATCGCATACAAAAATGGGGATGGATATCGGAATGGGAAGTTAATTATGGCTGGAACATTCCATGGGGTAAGTGGCTATTAATAAAATGTTGTATGTGTCCTTAGAAGTAATGGTGGTTGCAATTCTGGACAAGAAGTACCTCAAAGCTGAACAGCAAGCATCCCTGTTTACATCCACCAATTTAAGCTAATGAGTTAAAGATTTCCATTCTCCTAGAAAATTTTCCAACAAGATGGCTGGGATTCTTTCTGATGGTTTTTTCTCTGAATATAAAGTTAGAAGCAATGTGAAACTAGCACCTTGGTTTTCAAGGGACCCCGAACAAAGTGGGAAAATGGAACCACCAGGCTATCTTCACCCTCATGGTAAACAGAATGCCTTTTTCCTCCTTGTTCCCTTGCACTGCAAGTTGAATATCACCTGAATGTTTTTTTGGTTTCTTTGGTTTGTTTTTTAATGCCCCTCACTTGGACATTAAATGCCCCTCATTCAGAGCTTCTGAGCACGTGTTTGTTGACAAGGCCTTTCACCTCACTTTTACATGGAGGCTGCTTAAGTTGTTAGAGACTATGTGTCTGCCTTAGAGACTGTGTAGTCACGACAGGAGAGCCCCCAAAGTGATAATTCTGTCTCAACAACCCTCCTAATACTTTTAATAACCTATTTTATAGGTTTATACAGTATGGGTTTTTTTATGCCAACTCCTCCCACCCCCTTCTTGTCACTCACCTCTGGGGTTGGAAATAATTGGCTTTTCTTATTCAGGTCTGGAGAGATGGCTCAACATTTATGAGTATTTACTACTCTTGCAGAGGACATCAGTTTGGGTTCCACACCCCTACGGGTAGCCCACACAGTCTGTATGTAACTCCAGTTCACTAGGATCTGATATACTCTTCTGGCTTCCTGGGGCATCTGCACTCTTGGGCACACAGAGATGGACAGCCATAAACATAAAAACAAAAGTGAATTTTTTCCAAAATGAAACTATTGCTCAATGAACCAAGCAAAGTACAAAAGTTAACCCCAAGATTTACCCAAGGCTACAAGACTGGCCTCCTCTCTCTCTTTCTCTTTCCATCTGAGGGAGATGATACCCTCCTCCCAGTACATAGATCCCAGAGATTGAACTCAGGCCTTCTGGTCTGTGGCAGGCATGCTAAGTCTGAGCCACCTTGTTGGCCTAAAAGACCAGCTTTTAGATTTGTTTTCCCATCTGCAAAATGGAGGGGATAATGTGTGAGAGTTTTGGTGAGAAAATTATTTGTTTATTTAAAACTGTTCACCCATTTGCAGTATTGCCACTTTATATCTTATAGTGTAACAAAAAGGAAGGAGATGTTACTTGCTTTAAGCAAGAATGTCTTGTGGAAAAATGTATCACCGTATATAAGCTGCTGGGCTTCAGCTTTAGAGCAAGGAATGTTCAAAACCAGGTGCGGCTCATATTAACTTAGAGAAAACAGATGTAAAAATCGCCTGTAATCAGAAATCAACATCCTAGTCATTCAGCATCTGTTTTCTGAAAATAAGGGCTTTACAGATTTCTACAGTGGCTGACAGCTTGTTATAATTTCAATGTCATCATTATTTTCTATTAGTGTTTTTAAAAAATTGTTTTTATTTTTCTGTGCTCTGCCTGCATGCAAGTGCACTTCATGCATGTTTGGAACCCTCAGAGGTCACACAAGGGCACTGGATGCCCTGGAATTGCAGTTATCTGTAGGTGGAAGCCATCATGCAGGTACTGGGAGCAGAACCTTGGTTCTCTCAAAAGCAGTAGGTGCTTGTAACTGCCCAGCCAGCTCTCCTGTGCCTCCTATCCATTACTTACAACTCGTAGTTTGCAGCTTCTTGCAGAGTGCACGGAACGACTTGGACTCACTAGAGCAGCCACCAAAATCTACACCAGAGATGGAACCAACATACTGACTTTGCGCAGCTTGGTTCTGTGGGCCATAGGTGAGACCCTCGCCCAGAGATACCCTGAGACACAAGAGAGAAGCACGGAGTCTTTGGGGACAGCACAGACAGCTGTTCAAAATACAGAAGGTTGGTGAGCTTCTATGGGCATTAGTCGTTTATGCTCCGTTATCGAAAAGTTAAATATGATTCATCCAATCACCACAGCACGGATTTCAAAATTATACCAGGGACTTTTGTAAATGGTTCAGAGAAAGTGAGGTTCTCATAGTGTCCTTACCTTTCTTAATAAGTAAGTAAATAAATAATACATATTCTAGTTTTAGAACAGAACCAATAAATCAATTCATAAAACTGACAACAGTAGGTAATTTAACTACTTTGTAAAGCACTAACATTGTTTTGTTCTAAAACTCAGACCCCAAATCACCTGGGAGTAGTGAAGAAGTTGTTGCTAGACCAGCGCTGCTCTCTTCCCACTGTTGATGGGAAGGTCTCTGTCTTCTACTTTTCCTGCCCTTGTTTCCCTCCCTGACTTTGCTGCTCCCCCTGCTCTGTGAAGCCCTAGAAGCTCTACTGGATGTTCCTTTCCTGCCAGATGTGATACAACAGTGTGCTTCTCAGTGTGAGATTTTCTACTCAGGTCCTGAGAGGCATAGTTTAGAGCTTATAAATTTTGGTTTGGGAGTCAGAATAGCAGGTTTCTAAGCTGAATGACATTGGTCAAGGTCTTGAACCCAACTCTACCTCAGTCCTTGTATCTCTATCTAGATTTACCAATAATCACTTTTCTTACAGACTTTTCATGAGAAGCAAAGGAATTAAATGCTGATTAAAAGAAAAAAAAACTTATCTTCAAGGGAATAAGAGATAGTTTATTCTGGAGTTCTTTTGAGTAACCAAAGCTAGGGAACATAGTTTTTTGTTCCCCCAAATTCTATGTTCCAACATGGAAGCTGTTTTATGGTTTCACAGGACAAAAAAAAAAGTCATAAATCAAGGCAAGTTTAAAATATATTGATGGGGCCGGGTGGTGGTGGCGCACGCCTTTAATCCCAGCACTCGGGAGGCAGAGGCAGGCGGATCTCTGTGGGTTCGAGGCCAGCCTGGTCTACAGAGCTAGTTCCAGGACAGGAACCAAAAAGCTACGGAGAAACCCTGTTTGGAAAAACCAATATATATATAGATGGGTATATCAGAGATGTGGTAAGCTTTTTTATAAATCCAAGATGCTTTCTTGTGACATTTTTAGCTTTTGGAATGGTGCAAGCTAATAATCTTGGTCTGTTAATAGCCTTTTAAATGTTTTTACCTACTGTCCACACAATGTTAGTTCAGACACTAACTGGCTGGGTGAGGAATGGCTGTTCTGGAGGGCTGGAACAAGCCTAAGATAAGATAATTACCCTCTGGACCTGCAGTTCTCCAATCCCTGCACAGTACTGATGTTTTAATTAGTCAGTCCAGCTTTCTATTCAGGAGCTTTTGCTCACAACAGAATGTATCTGCTTGTGATTTTTGTTTTTTTTTCCCTTTCTGTTCTATTAAAATAAAACACTACAGTATGAGAAATATTTTGTTCTACCAAAGATGGCTGGGATACCAAAAGTCTATAAATTTCTCCCATCTTGTGAAAACGTAGTATGTTCCTGTTTGCCCCCTGCTGGATATCAGACATTTCTGTGCCTTGACCACACCCTTCCTTTCTTCACCAGCAGTGAATTAACCAGGCTGTGGGGTCTAGCTCCCACCAATGGGGCAAGACCACCTGAGTCAGAATAAGAACTAAGTGAACCTCCATCCCCAATGTACTCGCTCACTCAATTCGGGTCATCTCGAACCCGGTTGCCAAAGTAAATAACCTACAGACTAGACTGTGTTTCTCTGTGCATTTCTGGGAATATTCTTTTCTAATGGATGAGGCAATTCTAAAACCAAACTATGTTTTTCACGGAGACCAGGAGGTTCAAATCTAGGCACTGGCAGGTTTGATTCATTGGGGATCAAGAGCTATATCTACCACAGGGCAGTGGCGCTGGATGTCACCTGGCTGAAAGTTGATAGACAGGAGAGACAAAAGCTGTGTGGAGCTCCTTTAGAAAGGGCTTGGTCCCAGCCACAAGAAGAGCAGCTCTCCCAATGTAATGGTATTTTTAAAAACCCCATCTCAGGGCAGGGGAGATGGCTCAGTGGGTCAAATGCTTGCTGTGCAGGTGTGAAGACCTGGGTTCAGGTCCCCAGCACTCATGGTAGTACACAACCATAACCCTAGGCTTGGGCGGTGTGGGCAGGTAAATTTGGGGCCTTATACGGCCAACCTCACTGAAAGAGCAATCACCAATGTCTGTGAGAGAGCCTGTTTCAAAATTAAGATGGATAATGATAGAGGATGATATTCTCAAACCAGCCTCAAGCAGACACAGGCAATCATGCCTAAACATATGCACATGCCATATAAATGAATGAAGAAGTCAATGAAAGAATCCAACCCTCTAAGGACATCATGTTGACCATTAATTTTCTCTACTTTAATTTATGAATGGACACATTCAAAACACAAATGGGTAAATATGCACATATATGCAAGTTTATATGCATATTTACTTGAATGAATATTTAATATTTTTTCATATAATTTATATTTGGTCCTTGTGAATATAAACATATATTAGACCAGTGCTTGACTCGTATCTATCAAACAGTCATGACTTTTATTTATTGTAAATGTGTATATTATGTTGTTTGATTTTTTCCATGAATTTTAAGAAGCAATGATTTGAACAACTTGTACCTGAATGGTTTTCAAAGTACATGGCTCTCCCTCTACTTAGTGTTAAAAGGGTAATCATCTCAAATGCAGTTCTTTCAAATTCCTTTTAAAAGTCTTCTTGAAGAACAGAGTAGTACAACTGCTCAGGACTGTCAGGAGGATGCCACTCCTCAGGACGACCAGAGGTCCTATTTAAGGCATCCTTTCTTCTCCCATATTCTGAAGCCCATCCTGGGGCAAGGCAGCACCATTTGTGGTCTGCTCCCGTTTGAAGTTGAGTTTCGGCATTATGCTACTAATATCCACAGAAGAACTTTAAAGAAATAGCTGAAGTGTTTCAGCACGGTGCTTACAGGGCAGGAAGCAGGAAGAACACATCTGCTAAAATCACTCAGCTCTGCTGCAACCCAGCAATGTCACTAAACATCATGTGTTTCAGTTACTTTTTAAAATTTTTTTCCATTTTAAAGTATCTGGAAGGATGTTCGATTCTTTGGTTGTCTGTGACATTTCTGACTAAGTGTTGTGTTGGCTCCAGTTTTCATAATAATTAAGGAAGTCATCAATGAAGAAGAAAATACTTTGAGCAAGTGAATTCATAAAGGATATTCGTTCATTATTAACTGACAAGTCTAAACATGTTGCTTCTTTCCCAGAAAACTCAAAAATGAAAATGGGAAACAGATTGGATTGTTTGGAGGGCATAGATAAATCTTTGCTTGCCCAGATCCTCAAAAGTCCCATTGCAATTTGGGTGTCTTGTGGTGAGCCATTTCTGCCTCTAAATGGTAAGGTTTTTCTGTTTTTGCTTCCTTTTAAACAGCATGTAAAAAGAGGGGGAAATAAGCTTTATGTCATGAAAAAATGAATAAAGTATGTCTAATGTCACCATAAGGATATTGTATTTATGCAGAGAGCCAATCAGTCAATTAATACTTGTGCAAAGACAGCTATATGCACATATTTACACAATTGCTTGTTTTTCTCTTACTGGAATGGCTTATTCTGCATGGAGAAGTGTCTGATTTAGTTGATAAAGAGGTGCTTGGTCTATAAGGCGGAGAATAATGGTATCCATTAGAAAATAACAAATGAGTTTAATTCACACTGAGGACGACCTGTCTGCACATTTTCATTTTTAGGAATTGTACCCTTTAGGCAGTAGGTGGATGTTTAAAAAAATGAATGGTCCCAAGCCAGGCTTTCATCACCACCAAACAGTTAGTGGAAGCAGAAAATGAAATATGGCCATTGCATATGGTAAATCTATACATAAAGCAGTTTTGATCGCCTTCCTGGCCCGCCTCTGTTCCATACAGAAATGCCCCAAGCTTTCTCATCTTTCAAACAAAGCTTCTTTTAACAGCCCTTACCTCTTTTAATTACATCTTTCTAATTCAATCTGTCTCTCGAAGCAGAAAGTTCTTTGTAAGTTATTGGTAGCTATGATAAGTTATTCTTGACAAAAGAACACTATGCAAAACATTATTTCTTTACCGTAGCTCCACAGAACTCAGAAAAATTAAAGAAACAAAACTGGCTAAAGAAGGACCAAATTTTGGCTGATTTAGACACCCTGAGACACAAGATGCGGCAGTTGAAAGGTCAGTGTGGATGAAGTTAGTCATTGTGTTTAATTCCAAATGGAACAACGGTTACCAATAATTATTTTCTACTGCTTGATACCAAATAGTTAGCCAATACATGCTACAGAAACATTATGCTGTGTAAATTAGAACAAGGTGTAAAATCTAATAGCATAGCCATTTGGTACTGGTTTTATATCTGTAAATTTTATATTAAAAGGAATACCCCATGATTTGCATTTGCACTGAGAAAAGTAAGGATTGTCTGTCCTTGCGTTTGAAATGCTCTCTTAATTGACACTATAGAAACTTTAGGAATAAATAAAACAAGACCTACATATTTAAGCAAAATCTTGCTGTTATTCCTTGGTATCTTATTACTGGAGATAAAGTTTATTTATGGGACATTTTTCATTTTAGCAATTAGAGCAGAGCAGTTGTGAAATTATCAAGGTCATGTTCAGTGAGCCAAGGACTCTCTTAATACAGCATGAGTATGCTTTTCATAGTCAAAGCTAACAGTGGCCAGTGTGTGTCCTTGCCCCTCGTTCTCCCCGCAGAATCTCAGGTTCCTGACTTCATACTGTTTCAAGCACTTGAGATGCAGGTGATTGTTCAGAGAAAATCAGTGTTCTGCGGACTGTAGTCTAGTAAGGAATGCATTTCAATCTTCATAATCACAGAATTTCAGCTCCTCATTATAAACATTGGCTTGTGTCTTCAGCCCTTGAGTTTTACTTCAACAACCATGCATATAGTTCTCAATGTAGAAGGCAGCTCTGGCTTTAGGATAGCCAATATCCATTCCTTACCTGAGGAAGGATTCCGGCTATGAGAAAACCTTTTGTGACTCCTCCAAATGTCTGCTATCCAACTACTAGACATTGTGACCTGAGTATTTGGGGACAAGCCCAGACTCGAGCTGGTATGTCACCTAAGTGCCAACGCCTCTCTAGTCTCCTCTACCAGAAGTTCTGCACCATTCATCCAGGCATTCTCTACCAGGAAGCTGCAAGTCGTCCTTGTTATCACCCCCTCTCTCCTTCCCCAAGCGAGTCTTTAGAAAATCTTGTCCCCTGTGTTGCATTGAGCACTAGTGAATTCCAACCCCCTTAAGTCTATGTGCTGGCTAGTTTCTGTCAACTTGACAAAAAGTAGTCACCCAGGAAGAAGGAACCTAACTGAGGAACTGGCTCCATCAGCTGGGCCTATAGGGATGTCTGTGGGGCACTTCGTTGATTAGTGACTGGTGTCTGAGGGCCTGGCGTACTGGGGCTATGCCACCCCTGGCTAGGTGTCCCTGAATTTTATAATAAAGCAAGCTGAGCAGGCCACAGGGAGCGAGCCAGCAAGCAGCATTTCTTCATAATTAATGCTTCAGCCTTCTGCCTTGAGTTCCTGCCTTGTTTTCCATCTAGAAGACTATAACCTTCAAGCCAGATAAACTCCCCAGGTTGCTTCTGGTCAATGTTTTTATCATAGCTACAGAGAAGCTAATTGGAGGAGTTTCCTCTGCCTTTATCCAAATTCAAGCAGAGACTCTATGACTGGGTTAGTAGAACGGTTTCTAACTAACTGATCTTCTGGCTTCAAGTCTTCACAGCATCCATCTGATGGTTACCAGCTTCCCTCATGTTGTTGTTTTCCAAAAACTGGGTCCTTTTCCCCTCTCACAGTTGGGAACTAAGAATAATACCGAGCACTGACTCATAATTGAAGAAGACTTTCCTTCTTGGCCAAGAACCTGAGAAATGGGAGATAAACCGCAAATAAAGTCTTCAAGTTGGGAAATGACTGATAGAGTAAGATAAATGGAGGCGGGTGTGAGGAAGGAGAAGAGCCACTAGTGAGAAATAGTCCTGTCTTTCCTGGGAGCGAGCGGAGATTTTCCTGGAACTCAGGCATCATTTCCTTTCCCTCCTATGATTCCTTCAGGTTGTTACCATAGCAACTATCAACTGTACTGGCACAAGAAGGTTGTCTTTTAGCATGCAGATGGGATTATAATAAAGACAGAGATTGATGGGAGGGACCATTCTGGCAGCCATCAATTTCAGTAAGATTAAAAAAAAGATGTTGTAGCCTACGGCTATACATACCAACCTCAAAGAGAAGCAAGATTGCAGTGGCTCAGCAGTCAGACCACCAACTCAGTACTCAGGCACTATGAGCAAGGGTGAGACTCTAGAGTTGAAACGATGGTGTGAAAACACAAAGGTGTTAAGGCAGCCCAGATATACAGGCTACTGAGGCTTCCTAGCACCCTTAGAAACAAGTCTGGGTTGTCTTCATGTGGGCCTCCATGATCCCACTGTCTATAAGGTCTCCTGTTTCCTTGCTCACTCCACCCATGAGTTTTCTACATTCATCATATGCTTTCAAAATTTGGGGCGCTTGAGAAAATTTAATTCCCTCTACTTCAAGTTTTCCCCCTCAGACCCTCTTGGAGTCTCCCTCGTTGTTATTTCTACTTCTTTTCCAGGGGTCCCCCCACAAGGCATTCTAATCGTGGGGTAAAGCAGTTTGTCACATCTTGAACTCCACCCCTATGGCCCTCAAGATATTATGGTAATTCTTTGTTCCCAGGACTATCCTCCTCAGATGAGAAATGTTCCACTCTTCCAGTGTGTTCCTGACTAGTTTTAGAATGATTGAAAGGAAAAAAAAAAATGAATGGAATTCCAATTCATTCACTGCAGGGAATCTTCCAAGCTTTACTGCCTTAAATTTGTAGAAAGCAACATTACTGAAAATAGCATCTGAAAAATCACCTTTGCTAAATTCTGGTTTTACATTATGCCTCCAACTTTAACTCTAATTTGCAAAAAGACATTTAAATGTAATTTGGTATCAGCCACAGCACCAGCACCTAAACAGTTGATGCTTTGTTTGTTAGTGGAAGTCCATTATGGAGTTATCCACAGATGTCCTTTCTTTTCAGATTCAGTGCTAGTTCTTGTCTCCCCCTAAAAACTGGCATGTATTCTGTGGTTACACATAATTATATGAATTGCTCTCATGAAAAGCCTAGACTAGCTACAAGGATTATCAAAATAAATGGTAATCAAGTCTTAGCTGAAGCACAATTCATAAAAACTTGGAATGAGGAGGGAGGGAAGGAAGGAGAGAAGGGGGAGGGAGGAGAATAGTCTCTAAATCATGATCTTTAGGCCTCAGACTCCTAAATTCTGGGATTGTAGACATCAACCACTGCTTAATTTTATACATCTTGAGGGTTGCCTAGAATAGGAGGCATGAACGTTTGTTGGTCATTGCAGCAAATACTATGTACAAAAAACTATATTAAGTGAATTGGTTATCATTTGTAAGTATGATCAGTACTATTAATAATAGTAATTATTTTGTAACAATTTTGTGATTGTGTAGCTTTTGTCAAATAGTTATTGCATGATTAACACATAATAGAAAATAAATATTGATACCTGTGTTTCTGAGAATAAAATATATTTCCTAACTTGGCTTTTTAAATTAATTAATCTCAGTATTACAAATCAGAGCAAGTAATGCCTTTGCTGCGTACGAACCAGGTGGATCCAATAGCCAAAATCCCTTCCCAGACACAGATATTGAAAAGGGTTGGGGTCCCAATAAGGGGTGGAGTGCAGAGAATTGATGAGCAGGGCCATGTGAAACAGCAACAAAGCACTCTCTAGCTTCTAAGAGAAAACCGAGAGCGGAACAAGAATCCTCTGCTTGTTTTTCCCAACTTTCAGTGGGACAAGACATCTGCTGTCAGGAGAGCTCCACCTCCTTCAAATGGAATGGTAGGAGCAGGAAAGAGTCATGTCCCCAACAGCCCGCTCATCGCTATCCCCAGTCTCATGTCCCCAACAGCCCACTCATTGCTAACCCCCAATCTCATAGAAAATAAAGTAGAATATGTAGAAACCATAACAAGGAAATGAAATAATTTATACAGAACCCCTTTGCTTGGCTTCAGTTTATGCTATCTTTACATATGTAAATTGCAGTAGATTATGAAAAACTTTCCACTGACTGAAGCCTTTTGTGCATTTTCATGAGCATTATGGTGCTAATGTATTTGTTTGCTTAGGACCTCTAGAAGCAAGGTGACAGAACTGAATGCCATGTAATCTAGTTCTCGGGTTCCATTTTTCAGCTACTGCCCTTCAGCTGTGTAAATGAGAAGCAATTGCTGAACTCTGTGTATCTGAACAAAATTTGAATGTCCACGGTGCATTCTAAATATGACATTTGTTAGGGTATAATCCATTAAAATATATGTTTTGTAAATTAATATTATCTGCACTCTGAGAGTAAAATTGGATGAAAACTGACTATTTTTAAGGATTTGTGTTAAGATTGCTGTGGTTTGAAGCTCGTTACCTAGCGATGCCGTCCCTGTGACTGACGGACCGCTCCAATGATGCTTTTCCACATTCACAGACAGCACGTGAAGCACGATGAGGCATGTTGTGTGCTTGCTTCCCGGAGAAGCCATTGCCATCACTTATTTTTATTGCTAGACCATCTCATCAGTTTTAGCTGTAAAGACACACGGCCTTTATCCTCCGCAAGTCCTGAATTATTTTCAGAGTTTTGTTTGTAGCCGTCATCTGAAAATCTTCAAATTGACAGGGTCTTGGCAGCAAAGTTGAGACTTTCATTCATTTTCCGGGCTCTCTCATTTACTCACTGGATTGGCCTCCTTAGAGACCCTTGTGCAACCTTGGGTCAGCAGCTCCTGCCAATGTCCCCTTTCTCAGTTTGTTTACTAAGTGTTGGGCATCGAATCCCGAGTCTTGAGTGTGTGAAGAAGCCTGACAGCACTGGACTGTGCCTTCAACCCTTTTTAATTTAGATTTTTAATTTTGAGGGGTGCTAGAATTGCTCTAGCTCGCCTGGCTTTTACTCAGACAGGCCTCAAACTCACCATCCTTCTGCCTCAGCCTTCATGGAAGCTTGGGTTTCTGTTATCTATATACCATTCACACATTCACAGTTCATAGGTATAATCATTTTCTTACCATCTTCCTTCCCTACTGAACTTGAAGCAAGAGCTCACTGAAACAAAAAGTGCAAATTACACAACATAAAACATGGCTTTTTTTTTTTTATTTCAGAAGTTTAGAAAGCCGTAGGGGACTTGGAGCCGTACTCACCTTCAACTCAGAGAGAGAAAGCAATATCGTATAAGCATGACTGAAAATCCTATATAAGGATTCAAAGTGGTCGAGAAGGAACGCAAACATCCTAGTTACCACACTTAATAATTTATGCCTGCAGTTCTTCAGAACACAGTATTCCAACAAATACTTTCTCTTCCTCCAGCTTTTCAACAGCGGAAAGGACTCCGCAGAGGCATCAGAAGCAAATTGTGCTCAGGGGGTGTTATTAGATAGAAAAAAAAATGGGGCTCCCATCTCTTCTGTTAATATTATTGTAGAAATACTTAATCCCCAGGCTGTGAGGCTAATTGTGGGGGAAGGCTTGTTACTAGTGGAAAGAACAAAACATATGCTCTGAGACTGGAAGAAATGATGGGAACCAAGTGAGGTCGTGAATTCTATTTGACTAAATTACTGCCGAACCAGATCGCAGATGCTGTGTGGGGGCCAGGTGGAAGTCAGCACGCTGTCTTCCTTTTCCATCTGTACAGCCATGGCCATTTAAAGCCTACACTTGAATATTGCTAAATATTATCACCTTAGTCATCTTGGCTTCTATGATATTTTTAGTATTTTATAGCCTATTTACTGCCCCTGAGTGGAACAATTTATGCCTGGAAAGTCAGTCCAATTCCCCTAAAACTTGGAAACCTACCTTCAGAAGCAACATCTTTTCGTTCCTCTTTCCAGGGCGGCGAATGGCAGCCCGTCAGCCAGCCACCATGGTGCCCACCCAAAGCCCTCTGCAGCCGGTAGTGATGGAGGGAGGCTGGACAGAGCAGACTCAAGAGGAGATGAAGCTCATGGAACGTATCCGAGAGACCGAGGTATGCTCCTTGGGGTCCCAGACATTAAGAACTCTGCCCCTGTTAGCAGCATTTATAAGTATCATGTTGAATTTTTAAATCATGCTATTAATATGCTCTCAGCAGCTAGGCAGTTATAACCACCATAACCATATGCCAGGCAATGAGTTGGCATTTGGAGAGTAGCTATCCCGGAGACAGCCAGCTCACATGAACGTCTGTTTTATTTGAATGGAGACCAGAAATTATGACCTTAGCAAAGACAAGAGAAAGGCCCAGTGGATATGTACAAAGGTAATTACACTAAGTGTAGTCAAGTTGAACCTTATGGCTTCATCGCTCATCACCCCTGAGGGTACTACGCAATATGTAAAAAGAGCAAGCAGCACAATGCCGATCACAATGGAGATATTTAGAAGTAAGAAGATGAAAAAGTGGTTTCGGCCAATTGGTTAATCAGTCAAGATTGCCAGACATAAAACATTTGAAAAGAGAAAGGTCAGCAGTTGAGGCAGGATTGGGGATAGAGACTGGGGGAAGCCGCATGCTTCGTGGAATTCTTCATCCTACTCTTGGCCACTATTTTAGCGGGGCTTATCCAACTCGTGACGTGTGTTCAGTGCAAATTTTAAGTGTATGTCTAAATCAAGGTGCCTGGAGTGAAGAAGCTGACATTGCTAGAGACTTGACTCCTTGCCAAGCTCAGAAGGATCAGTCTGTAGTCAGGGAATGAACAAACAAGCACTGGGCTAGGATATGCTTGAGTAGGATGAAGGGCTGCCAGGCGAGGGCTTGGCAAAGCAGGAAGGTGGCAGCTGCATTTCAGAAACCAGTGAGCTAGGACTTGCTACACACAGTCCCCTAAGCATCACTGAGCTAGAGAAAATGGAGCTGTGGTTCTGCATCAAAACCTCACTCATTAATTGCAGAGACGTCTCCTGTAGGAGAAACACCACACGCATGTCCAGAAACATATCACCCTTCATTCCTCAGCATTGCAAATCCGTTAAATGCTTCGTCTAAGTGAGTTTGTGTCTGTTATTACCCCAGTAGCTTCATGGAAGCAAGGGGAATTCACCCAAGTCTATGGCAGGAGAGGTCTGGGCATGCCACACTTATTAGAATAAGTATACATTGGTAGACATTGTGATTACATGGCATTGCTGGCTTCCACCAGATTCCCTTTGCACACCATTCGTTGTCCATATGCAGTATTCTCTGGGCTTTCCTTAACAGGCGCAACTTTCTGAAGGCAAAGAACTACAGCCCAGGTGCTCCCTGACTGCAAGTCAATGTAAAGTAACCCAGCAGCACACCCTGCACCGGGTTCCGCATGTGAGACGAGTGTGGGCCTACCAGAACGGAGGCAGACCTGACGATGGTGCTTATGTCAGGGCCAGCACTATTTCAGAGGTAGGTCTAATGTGGTCTAACAGGCCTGGAATCAGACCCTGACTTTGACTTCTCTAGGTTGGCAGATCAGGCAAGTTAATGAACTTTTCTCATTTGTCCAATGGGAATAAAACTGCCCTCGCAAGGCTGGTCAGGTCATTGAACAAGCTCACCCATGTGCACACGTCTAATGCTATCTGACAGGTGTTTGTGTGTGTGTATGTGTGTGTGTGTGTGTGTGTGTGTGTGAGTGTGTGTGTGTATTCGAATAGGACACATGGCCAATTGCACACACTCCAGACCAAGACTACCCTTTAAAATTACTTAAGAGTGGAAGTAGTGGCGCAAGCTTCTAATCCCAGCACTTGAGAGGTGGAGGCAGGAGGCGAGGAGCTAAAGGTCGTCTTTAGCTACAATGGTAAACTTGAGGCCAGCCAGGGCTAAGTGGGACCCAGTTTATTTTACTTAAAAAGGTTTTTCTCATTCATCTTAAATCTATCTCACAAAAGAGTCGTTTCTACTCCCTGTTGTGACTTATTCCCCAGAGATGTTCTTTATGGAAAAGCGACCGTGGTTCTTACAGAGAGCCTGTCATAGTCTCACGACCTGCTATCCTGGCCCGACAGAATTCCTACTTCCCAGAGATAAACACTGGCTTGAGGAGACAAGCAGCTGCTCCTGAATTGTTTCCAATTTGAAGAATATAAATCTAAAGTTTGGCGTTTTGGTCTTAGTCTTTAAGTGGAAAAGAAGCAAGCGGCAAGTAGGTTTAAATAGTAGGCATTCCCTAAAGTCTTTCCTGCTGCAATGGTAATGCTAACACTTCTTAGCCTGTTTTCCTCTGATAAGTGTTTGCATAGACTTTCCTGGGATGAGAGACAGAAATGACGCTGGGGGTAGGGGTGGGGTGCAATAGAAAGATGCAATAGAAAGGTCTAGGAACTTCACAGAGTTGATGAAGGTTCTGGAACAGCAGAGGCATCTCAGCTGGGCTGGCCTCCAGGGATGCTCCAGGCTCAAAGCCTTTCTTCACGGAAAGACCCCTGAGTGCAGCCACATCTCAGAAGCTGATGACTAACTTGCTACACTTGAAAAACAATGTGAAAATGTACAACAGTCACCATGAGCAACAAAGGGAAAATGGTTATTTTCAAAGAAGCGAAAGCCAACTTCCTAGAGAGACTCTGAAGAGTGGCTGTAATGGCGCTCTTCTCACTGTTCTCTTCAGAAGCAGTCAGCCCAGTGCTTGGCTGAGGAGCTCTGCATCTGCTTCCATCCCTTACTGAGTGTAGTAAACCCTATGAGGACAATTAGGGTAGTCAGGGCCAGTTCAAGCTCCGAGGTGTGGATGGGGGTGGGATTGGAGGGAGGTGGGGGAAGATGGTAGAGGGAGGGGAGGGGGAACTGGAGTTGGTATACAAAATGAAAAAAAAATCTTTTTAATTAAAAAAAATAAAAAAGAAAGAAACCAGAGTCAAATGTTGATGCTGCTTCCGAGAGAGCATTTAGCCTTGGCAACTAAAGGCAACAAAGTAGTGAAAGACTAGGCGGTGATCAGCCAAGAGACAGAGAAAGGAGCGTGGAGAATAGGAAAGTCACCTATTAGACGGTGTAGCGAAACTCACAAGGGATTTTCCAGAGATGACACATGGGTCTATCTAGTCAGGAGCTGGCTTTCTGATTGATGTGGCTCTCACTGTCAGCAATGGAAGGCACTCCCTAACTACGGTTCCATGATCGTATAACTTTCATGAACTTTCTATATGGAGGCTACAGTGCTGGAAGCTGGGAAGTATCATTTTAATTTACGTCTGTGAGCAGACATTTATAAACTCTGAACGCACCGTGTAATTGACAGGTTAACATCAGTAGTAGAGAATGTGTGCCGCAGGATCTCATTAAATTATGATGTCAGGATGACAAAGACTCATTACACTAGAGGCAAGTTGTTTAATGTAGATTATTATATTCTAGAACAAAGCAATCCATTATGTCAAAACAAGTATATGTGCTTTAATGACATTCTTGGCAATATTGACTATATTTGACAGGTTTCTTTTTTTTTTTGGACAAGGTAGATCTTTTTTATTAGTCACACAATTTTAAAAATTAATAAAATTCTATTTTTCTTTGAACCTTCCACCCTTACAGTGCAGAGAGTCCCGCTCTCCTTGTATGCAATGGAACTGGGTTGCAGTTTTGCAGATGTTTTAGGAGCCCCCCCTCAACAATACACCCCTTAAAGTAAATTTTGAAACAAGTATAGAAAATTGAAGAAAGACCAGAAAGAAAATGATGTCAAGGAGTTTCTAGAGTTCTGTTTAATTTGATGACAGTGTTGACATGTGTTTAAATAGTAGGATTCTTAAATATCAACAGGATTCTTTAATATAAATTATGTACGGGTCTTTGTTACTGTCTTTAAATTAATTTTTAAGTTAACATAAAAAGTATTGGGTTGATTTCTTCAGGGATTTTTTTTTTCTATTTTTCTTTTGATGGTGGTGGTGGTGGTTTTTTGTTTGGTTGTTAGTTCAGTTGGTTAGTTTTTGGTTTTTTGAGACAGGGTTTTTCTGTGTAGCCCTGGCTACTTTGGAACTCCTTCTGTAGACCAGGCTGGCCTTGAACTCACAGATTCACCTGTCTCTACATCCAAGTGCTTGGATTAAAGGCCTTCACCACCACCTGCCGGCCCTCAGGGAGTCTTCAGACATGTGTGTTGTACTTTGTCCCCGTTCTTCCCAGTAGTGATGATTTGTTTTCCTTTCACGTGTACTCTTTGCTCTCTCTATCTTCTGTATCCCTTAAATTCCACTACTTCCCTCTCCTGAGCCCCTTCTAGTTCCATGCTCTACAAACCTAGACACATACATATACGCATCCTAGTATATAATTTAAAAATTAGATTCCATGTCTGAGGAAACAGGCAATACTTGCCTTCCAGGGTCTGACATAAACTTGTTTAATATGATTTCCACTTGCATCCTTTATTCTGCAAATGTCATAATTTCATTATTCTTTATGTTTGCATAATATCTCTTTGTGCGCATGGGCTACATTTTCTTTATCCGTTCATTTGATGATGGGTGGACACCTGGCTTGGTTCCATTCGCTGGCTTTTGTGAATGTGGAGGCGTAAGCACCTCTGTGGTATGCTGACTCAGTTTCCTTTGGCTGTACACCTGTCAATGGGATAGCTGGGTCATTTTGTTCTAATTTCAGTTTTGTGAGGACCCTCCATATGGATCTTCATAGTGGTTTCACAAGTTTATGTTCCTACTGGTCATATATAAAGGGTCCTATCCACCCACTCCCATCTTCTCCAATGCTTGCTGTTATTTTTTTTCTTGGTGGTAGTTATTCTTCTTTCCCTGTTGACTATGGATATAAAATACATTATATGGTATTTGCTGGTCATTTATATTTCTTCTTTTGATAATGGTCTATTGAATTCAGTAGCCCACTTTTTGATGGAAGAATCTAGTACCTCAGTTCTGGGGTGGGTGCAGGCAGAGGGCTTGCCTTTGTACTTTCGGGGTCTCCTGACTACCAGTCAGCCTACAGGAGGGATGTTGGCTGTGTGGCTATATACCCCTGCAACATCAGAGGATGACAGAGAGTTGGCTCCAGAATTTGACCTACCTGCTGGCTCAGAGCTATTAAACCCCAGGGTGATTTTCGGATCAGATCTGTCTCGGGTCACTTTTGGTGGGCCTGTTTTTCTCTGTGTACTTCCCAGCCAGAGCCAGCCCCCTGCTACCTTCATCTTTCAGCTCACTGATGGCCTGTACTCTACCACTGCCTCGCTGAGCCTCCTTCCACACAGGTTCTGTGTCCAACCAAACCAAGGCTCCCTATCCTGAGGATGTGTCCTACTCTCAGGTCCACAGGGTAGCCTGGTTTTAACCATACATCCTGTTTCAAAATAGCCCTAGGCCACTAACCTCTGAGTCACATGATGTGATCAAATTGGATTTTTCCCCACGGTGGAACACATCCTGCAGCTAGACTAAAGCCGCTGAAGACTGTGTGGGCTTGCTCTGGGTGTAGGACTGACTGCTTCATCCGGGTTACCTTTTGGAGACAGCTTCTGAGTACTCTTCTTGACTAAGGCTGTGCCATGGCAGCTGTGTTCAGCTTGCTCCTCTGAGTACATACTATACTGAGTATACCATTGTACATACTATACTGTCTTTGCTCTTTCCAGGACCCTCTACTTCTTTTGTGAATTTCAGAATCAGCTTGCCTCTGTTCTTTTCTTTAGATAAAGTCTTGTTTTTTGTTTTACTCTTCTTAATCTCTCTTTCACCAGCTCTCACGGAAGTAACCTCTAATCTGTCTCCTTCTAGGCTGTCTCCTCAAGTTGATAAAGAGTATAAAAATCTATCCAGGCTTTAACTGGGTACAGAGAAATAGGCACTCTCACGTTGATGGAAATTGAACGTTTTAGAGAAGGCGCACTTGGTTTTACATCTCCTAAGTAAATGCACTTCTGAATGCATCTACATTAGCTTCTTTGTCACCGTGACAAAATAATGGGCAGGCGCACTTCTGAGAGAAGGACTTGGTTTAAGCACATGATTGAGTCCATCAGGGCAGAGGTCCATCATGGAGACCATGGTGACCGGAGCATGTACGTGTTATTTCTCGCATTTCAGCAGATAAGGAAGCAGAGAACTTTCAAAGGCCCACCCCTAGAGCCCTACCTCAGCCAGCAAGGCATTGCTTCTTAAAGATCCCACCTACAGCCACCAGTTGCGGAAAGGTGTTAAAGCCCATGAGACTGTGGGGGTGGTATTTCACACTTGACCCTTAACCTGCCCCAAGATCATTTCATGAACCTATGCAAAGTTTGTTTGCTAGAGATATTAATCGCAGAAGTGTTTTCAATAGAGATAAACTAGAAGCAATTCTAAGTTTATCAATCGGAAATTGGTTAAGTGAATTATAGCACGTAGGAAGGAATATCATAACTCAATTAAAATCAACTTTAAGAGAGAATAAAAACAACAAATATGGCTGAGATACACTAAGTAAAATAAACATAATGTAAGGCACACAGAATTAGATTCTATACGCACATACACTGTAAATTGAAAGCAGCGAGGAAGGACTTAACTGCTCTCAGTATTCATTTTTGATTGGGCTGGATCATGGGTTACTTTTATTTTTCTTTCTCATGTGTTTGTATGTTCTGGGTTTTTATGATGAAGTCAGATTGTTCTTCTGTGATAAGGGAACTGATCAACTTCTTGGAGAGGGCTAACATAAGAGATAAAGGTCGGGTTAGTGGAAGTTCAGTTCAGCCATCAAGGGAAGGAAACTTTATCCCTCAGATAAGGGACAATAATACAAAGGAGTCCGTTGCCACCTCTGACAGACCTGAGAAAGGAGTTGTGCATCAGCAGCTTAGGCAGAGGAAGTGTTGATGAGGAGAAGTGCCAAGCACAGGCATGAGTGTTGGCGTTGATGTGGTGTGGTAAGCAGACGACACTTACATCAAGGAGTAGGGAGATGGATGACTGTCTTCTTGGGATGTGTTGTAGTTTTTGCCCTCTCAGACTTAGGTGTTTGGACACCTGGTCCCTAGCAGGTGGCACTGTCTGAGAAGGTTGTAGAACCTCCAGACACCTGGTCCCTAGCAGGTGGCACTGAGAAGGTTGTAGAACCTTCAGACACCTGGTCCCTAGCAGGTGGCACTGTCTGAGAAGGTTGTAGAACCTTCAGACACCTGGTCCCTAGCAGGTGGCACTGAGAAGGTTGTAGAACCTTCAGACACCTGGTCCCTAGCAGGTGGCACTGTCTGAGAAGGTTGTAGAACCTTCAGGAGGTGGGAGTAGGTCTCTGGGGATGAGACTTTATAGATAGCTTGATTTCCTGTTCAGCTTTTCTGACTGTCATTCTAGTATGACTAGCAACCTCCTGCTTCTGGCAACATGCCTTCCCACTGCTTAGTGAGGGCCCCCTTCTAGCTCTGTTCTTGCACAACCTTTTCTTTGTGTGACTGAAAAAGGGGCTTTGTTGTTTCTTATAAAGAAACCATCCCTGTTAGGTTAAGCCCCTCCTTCATACCCATGTTTAACCTCATGTGTCTCTTTGAGGTTTCATCTTCAAAGATGGTTGAAGTGGGAATTAAGACTGTTAGTGTCCGAGGGCTATGCTGCCACAGGGCAATACCAGTGCCATGGAATGTCTGGACTGAGTTGTGGTTGAGGGCCATATCTGGGTCTGTGGTCCTATAGCAGCTGGAGTCTGTGTTGAAGTCAGTGCCCCATATTATCATTGGACACTATGGAAGAGCTGGCCATGGTAGCCTGGGCATGGGGGAACTGGTCTTTCCTCTCACCAGCTGCCTCGGTGTGAGAGCTCCCAACCCTCAGAACTGGCCCCAGTGGTGCGGGCACAGGAGAGCTGGCCTGACCTTCAATGGCCCTGGGAGAACTGCTCCCTAGCCCCCACTGGCTCCCACAAGGAAGAACTGGTCTCACCTCCCACCACAAGGAGAACTTGCCCGGATGGCGTGGGCATGAGAGAACTGGACCTGCCCCTCGCCTGAGTGGGGCAGTCTTGTGGAGGCTCATACTGACTAACTCAGCTACCATCCTGGCCCACATCCAAGGCTTTGAGTTGGCACACTCCAGCTTCTACTCCATCTATGACCTACTGGGGTGTGTGAGGCATAGCCACAGGAGCTCCAAGACTCAGGGCAATAGCAGGATATCTGGGAGAAGTTTTGGTGAGGGTCCAGTATTGATGGTGTACCAGAAGCTGGTGGTCTAAAACCAGACCAACAGCTCATTACAATGAACATTTGAAAGTAAATCTGTTCGGACCAAAGGGTCTACTCTGTGACACACCACAGATCCCAAGGCCACCATGACGAATATATGATGGAAAGGCAGGAGGGACAGAGAAGTGAAATGTTTTTCTTTTTCTTTTAATTTTCTTTTTTTGGGAGAGGCTACAAGGGCAGAGGGTAAACATGGAAGAACTAGGAAATGAGCAGGATTGGGGTGTACAGTGTGAAATTCCCGAAGAATCAATAAAAAAGTTAGGTTAAAGAAAAGTTGGGAAGTGACAGATTGCATCCAAAGTTGGCATCTGGTTTCCACACATGGGCACCTATGTGCATTTACACACACACACACACACACACACACACACACACACACACACACGCGCGCGCACACACATGACTGAAGAGAGATGGTAGAGGCTGATATTAACTCATTTGTCTCAGTGACTTACACAGAGAATATTGACAGGTTTTGTATTTTCATTCATAGCATTCTGTTCTGAAGAACAATATAACATCATGAGTTCTCCAGGTTTCTTATGAAATTCTGAAGTTTGCTATTGGATGCATTTTGCATGTTGATGAGAGATACCTTTTTCTGTTGTTTCATGTGATTATCAGACCCATGATGGCATGCATCCGACTTTCCACTTCTCTATGTTTTTTGTTGTTGTTTTTAGAAAACATATAAGAAGTAATCAATGATATGTTTATTTGTTGCTTTTAAGATTTTTATTTTTTTTATTTTTTTTATTTTTTTAATGAGATTTTTTTTATTGAGAAAAGAAGAAAAAAAAACATAAACAAAAATCAAGTTTCCACCTCCTCCCAGCCTCCCATTTCCCTCCCCCTCCTCCTCTTCACCATATCAAAGTTATAATGAGATTAAGTGATTTTTATTTTAAATTTTATGTTTGTCTTTCTTTTAACAACTATGTGGATTTTTTTCTGGTGAAAATATTTTCATCTTTGTTGGCTTAAAATTATTCTCTCAGTTTTGTTTACTGGCTAGCCTTGGTCCCCGTGGAACTGCAATGCCGGTTTAGAAGGCACCACACTCTTGTAGAGATCACCCTGCTGTTAAGTGGGCTGCAGCACTTTATGCTTTTAAAACTATTGTCAATTTGTAACATAGTTTGCTACCTGAAAGTGACAGTTACTCACTATTTCATTTCGCTATCATATTTTACTGCAGTATTATTATTTATTGAATCTTGTAAACAAATCATGGAAGTCCTTTTCCCCCCTATAAAATAAATACATGTGCATTTTGACTGCAGCTGTACAAGACTATTAATCAACTTCATGAAAATTGACAACTTCTGTGACTGACACCTTTTCACAGTCAGATTTGTGGCAGTTTTATGTACATGGAATCAGATTTTTGGTCCATCAATAAAATTGTATAGGTCTTATAAAACGAACTCACATTTTAAAAATAATTATTTCTGTTTGGTTTTGTTTGGGTGATAAATTTTCGTCCACTGTATTTTCTGAATGTCTAATTTTAGTAAACAAAAACACTATTAATGCTCTAAAGTTTACTATTTACCTTTTCGTTTAAATGCTCTTGTTTTTATTATTGATTTCGTCATTATTTGATTGACCAAAGCTTCCTAAGGATAAAATTATTCCTACCCACTGAGAAAAGCTACTTCTTACACTCTGGAACCTGCTTTGAATGTCATCTCCGTTACAGAGTACATTCTATATCAAGATTTCTCTCATTCGGTGATTCTATGCTTATTAAGTGTTTTAGCTGATAAAATATACAACCTCTACCAATTTTCCAGACCTTCTGTTTGTGAAACAAAGGCTAGGGTCTGGGTTTCCTCACTATTTGTATGTCTAGTTCTTTGGTCATTAAGCAAAAAAATTGAAAAAAAAGGAAAAAAATTGAAGCTATTTTGTCATGTCCAGGTTCCTAATCCAAGATTTGCTGTATTTATAATTTTGTTAAACACCAAGATGCCTTCATCTGTGAAAAAAAAAAATAGTGCCTACAAGGAAACTTCCCCGAAGACCTCTGGAGTTCCCTCACTTTAAAGAAAGTCAGCAGACACTCACTGTGTGCCGTTCTTCAAAGCCCTCCTTACCGCCTATGTCCTAAAAGTATAACTGAATGAATGTTTAAGTAAGGATCGAACTCTCTGAAAAGCATTGCTTTAGGGCAGTGGTTCTCAATTGGGCTTCCCTTTGGGGTCATACATCAGATATCCTGCATATCAGATATTTATATTACAATTCATAACAATAGCAAACTTACAGTTATGGAATAGCAGTGAGATAATTTTAGGATTGGGGCTCACCATAACGTTGTGGAACTGTATTAAAGGGTCACAGCATTAGGAAGGTAGAGCATCACTGCTTTAGAGGATTGAGATATAGTTCCTTTGGTAGAGTGTTTGCCCAATATTCATGAAGCCCTGAGACTGCTAACACAGAAACCCAGCCTGGTGGTGCACACCTGTAATCCCAGGTCTCAAGAGGTAGAAGAAGGAGGATCAGAAGTTCAAGGTCATCTTCAACCACATAGTGAGTTGGAGGCTAAGAGCCTGTGTTACATGAAACCTTGTCTCAAAACCAAGCATTGTAATAACTATTTAGCGATATTTGTCACTCAAATACGGCTGTCCCCTTGTGTTTCAGTTGCTGGATGAGTGCACTGCTCGTCTGAAAATGTTGCACCCTGCCAAAACCCTGTACACCTCAAACGGGGAGCTCATTCAGTCCTGGGACAGCATAGAGAAGGATATGATTGTCTGCGTGTCTGCAGGACGTGGCTTTGTGACCTCAAAAGGTATGGGTGACACCTCCTCTTTTATCAAGGTCTTGAGGAGTTAGAGCATTTAGCCTTCTTTGCAGAGTCCTTGTCTGCTGAACTCTGAACACTGTTGGACGATTTTAGTAATCACACTTCTCATGCTGTGCTATTCCACGTGATGAAGGTGACGTCCACATCTGTGTGTGCCTGAAAAACCATTGTCACATGGTTTAGTCTAAGAAATGGCAAAGTTGGTTGTCGCTTGTAAAAGTTGACAGCTTTCTGTATTCTCAAAGTGTACACCCTGTCAGAACTATATACACAAGACTTCCTGTCCTGAGAGGCTCCAGTTTATTTGTGAATGTAAACACACCAGTTACTTTCCTTATTACTGTGACCAAACGCCTGGGGGTAGTACCCACATGGCAGAGAATGCCCTGAAGCAAAGGTCATTGCAGGTCACTTTGCAGCTACTGCAGCCCGGAAGTCGCCCTCAATATCAGCCATGACAGTGAGCACCTTTCAAATGGTGACAGTGAGGAAATGGGTCCAGCGACAGCAGGCATTGGCTCGGTACCTCTTCCTCACAGCTCAGTCTTTCCTGCTCTCAGCACGGGCCTCCTGGCTTCATAGTGCTCGCTGGGTCTGATTGATGAATGAAGCTATGCCTGCTTCAGGAGAGTTATCACAAAGAGTATCCAACACCCTCCCTCAACACACACACCACACACACACACACACACACACACACACACACACGAAAATCCAGACTGCCTTCCCAGGAGCAAGTAAATCCCCAGAAAAATCTTCCCCAGTAAAATCTGTGAGGAAGAGGGAGAAAATTAGAAATTCAAAGAGTAGTCTCCCTACAAACCTTCATTTTCAAATCTTCAGTTTTATAAGCACCCATTTCTGTGACGTCAAACCTGGCCCCTGGCCTGTGGAAATGGGTGCTCCATGTCGCCTTCCTGGTGAAGGGTTTGTGGCTTCCCCCAGTTGCCTGAATTCTTTCCAGTAAGTCATGACTGTCTAAGCAATATGATTGGTCACAGAAGTGAGTCATGTCTATTCTGGGCAGTATGATTGGTCACAGAAGCAAATTTAATTATTCCTTTAAACCTGATTTTTTTGAAGCCATTTTGTTGTTTCCATGAAGTAAAATAAAAGTATCATCTAACAGGAATCTACATTTTTCCAAATACTTGAAAAACAAAGAGAAATGCTTTTGAATATATTTTATTCACTATGAGATGTTTAGCTAATTAACCATTCCACCTGTGACTTTTTTCTGTGACCTACTAGCTAAAGGATGTGTGAGAAAATAAGACATTCTGAGAGTCTCAAAACATGATAATTATTTATTTCATACACAATAATGCAAAAATTAACAAGCAGATGTACTATATTGATTTTTTAAAATGAATTTCATTGGCAAAACAAAACAGAAGCTTTCTGAATGGCGTCTTTTTCTCACATCCTCAACACTTAAGAATACTTTGTGTCCTTTGCAGTAAAGTCCAAATGCTGTTCACAATGCCTGGATTTCCAGCTTTTCAGTGGACTTGGTCTTTGTACCACACTCCAATGTGAGATTCCTATTCAGACATTGTATTGTTTGGAAAGAAGTCTTCTCTAATGTACTGTAAATTCTAATTGGTTTTAGCAACAAAAATCTCGAATCAGAAATTTGGGTAAATGCTGAAAGATCAGAGAGACAAAGGAGCATGCCATAGCCACTTCTTACCCGTCAACTCCTCAACCTGGAAGGGGATGAACTCATGGCTCCTCCCTCCTTATATTTCTCTCTGTGCCCAGCAGTATCTCTTCCTGTCTCCATCTTTCCTAGTGCTGGGAATAAAGGCATGTGCCTCCCAGTTACTGGGAGCAAACGCATGAGATCCAAGTGCTGGGATTAAAGGTGTGTGCCACCACTGCCTGGCCTCTATGGTTAACTAGTGGCTAGCTCCACACTCGGATCTCCTGGCAAGCTTTATTTGTTAGAGCACAAACAAGGTATCACCACACTCTAGTGTCCCTGATTGCACAGACATCCAAAGAACAGCAGCATGTACCTGACAGTGTGAGCGCAGGAAATGTGTGATGAGAACACAAGGATTGCCAAGGGAGCCTGGATGCCCTCATCACCCTGCACGTTAATTCTATACTTGAACTCTATAAAAACATTGACCTGTCTCTAAATAGCTATGTGCTTTTCTTTTAACAGAAAAGCAGCAGCTGGTGGAAATCAAAGCGAATTATGCCAGAATCCGGAGGCAGCGGGGCCGCGAAGCCACAGACATTGTGGTATCACCATCCATGAAGTTGCTATCTCTCCTGCAGCCACACAACTAACTTCAAGCAGAGCTTCATATCTTGTGCTGTATTTTATGGATATAGCTATGTGTAGATTCTCAAGGGCTAGTTATGCCATGACCATTTTTGTCCCTTTTAACCTATACACAGTGTCCCTTTTATTCCCACCATCCGCTGAGATTTGAACCTAGCTGTTGGACATACACTTGAGTGGTGTGTCAAGCATCCTGAGCTATGCCTCCAGCTCCCTCGGTCTCCTTCAAAGGTTATTAGTTTCCACATTGTATGTGAAGTAGCATTGGATGCCTCGAGTCTGCTCCTTGAACAGCAACAAAACAAGACAAATAATGCAAGGAAGATGACTGTCTTAGGTGAATTTTCTTTGAGAAAATATAAGTTGCTGAAAAGTAACTTAGAAGGATCAAGGAACATACATCTATGCACATGTATGTATGTATATAGCTAGGACATTGATAATAAAATGACTCTTGATCACTGAACCCTAAATTCAAGTGGCATTTTCTGGCTCCATTACTCTGATTTTGGGGCTTCTGTTAGAATCCCTCACATACCCAATAAAACTGGAATGGCTGGTGGCTACCAAAAACACAGACCTCTGTCTCTTCTTCCCCAGTTTTTCTGCAGTTCTGCAGGCCTCTCTCGGGGCAGTTAGGTGTCACTCAGGAGAATGAAGGTGGGTGGTTATAGTGACTGATTGGTAGTAAGAAGTCATAGACTATGTCCTCAATATAAATTCAGGAAGGATCTAAACACAGTATTTCAAAGAAAGTTCATGTGAGGAAGAGGGGTGTGAATATGTGTGTCTCTGAAGTCTTAATGCCACTTCCACAGGACAAGAGGCATCTTACCTGATAATTTGTTCCTGGGAAGAGGAAAGACCATTTAGAAAACAAATAGCCAGTCAGTGTCAGGCCTGAGTTTGGCTCTGTTGCTGGTGGGATGTGTCAGGGAACCGCCCCTCCTCCCTGTCTTCCTCCATACCAGCCACAGTTCTGCCGGAACAGCTAGGTGTGTACTCACACAACAGCACAGCTAGGTGTGTACTCACACAACAGCACAGCCAGGCTCCTCGTTCAGTCCCCCACTTTAAATGGTACAGAAAGGCAATGTGTCATTTCTACTGAAGGGGGCTCTTGGCAACTGCTGCGAAAGGCCTGGTATTTAGTCCCTGTCTGCAGATCAGCCGGGCTGCATGAATAAATCCCTGCTGCCTGGGACACCATGCCGGCCGAATCTCAGGCGTCAGGTGAGCAGCAGTTCACCCCGTGGCAGACATTTCTCGTATGATGTGGCAGAAGCAAAGGTGGCCCAGGGCAGCGGTGTGCCACGGAGGAGGCACACCCCATGATGCTTTTACTTTGCTTTTCTTTCTTCTGTTTTGCTAGCAATCCTGAAAGAGAACAAGAAAGGTTAGAGAACTTGCCCACGGCCTGACAGTGGCCCATCAAGACTCTCACCAACTGGGTCTTTCCTTGCGGTGAAATGACTTGATCACAACACCCATGAAGGAAATAAACCTTTTTTTCTTTTTTTCAAAATTCTGTGAAAACACATGCATTTCTTTAGGTGCAGAAGCTCCTATCATTTACTGCCAGGGAAAAGTTGCCTCGTTGTAAAAACGGTATCATTCGCCCGAGATCAAATGTGCAAATTCTTGTGAAGTCTTCGCTGTTGCGTGAGAACGGGCCTGAAGCGAAAATTGATAATATCACACAACGTCCTATCAAGCACCAGGAGACATCGGGCAAAAGCCTTAAGTGAACTTCTCTGTTGCCAGCAAATGGGATTTTAGATGTAACCTAACAGCCATCAACACATCACCTCTTCCTAGCGAGGCGGTCACACTCACACTGTAGATGACAGCTTGCCTAGAATATCTGCAGCATTCCTAGTCAGTGCTGACTTCCATAAAGCTAAAACACTCCGGAGTTTTCCCTTCTGATTGCCTCTCTATACTGGCTTGAGTCTAACCGGGGAGCAGTTATTACCCCTCAGCGAGGACTATTTTAACTCGGTGACTTGTCCCGAGCTTCTAATAAATGCAGTCAGTTCCTCTGGAGACATGTTTATCAAATTTAAATCAATTTCATACCTATGTCAGATTTCAGTATTGTTTTTTTATCAACTGAGAGGCACTTATTATCAGATACTAAAGCAGAACCCTCCAGGCCATAGCCTTCCCCAGAAACATAGTCCCTGTTGGCTCCCCAGGTGAGCCAGGAGTCAGCCACAGACACCTGCACTGGCAATCACTTTCAGAAGAACTAGAATTCTAACAATGCTGATAGCACATAGTCCACGAGTGAGGTTACATGACTGTGAGTGAACCTTCCACCTGAGTGCATCTCTGTGCCTTGTGAGACAGGACTGTGCAATGCTTCAAATCACCAAGGTATTTCAATGTAGTTACTACGAATTTCTATTTTTTCCTGATTGCTCATAATAACTAAATATGATTTTACAAATCAACAAAATAAAGAAAAAGCAAAACCAAAAAAAATGAAGGTAAATTTGTCCTCTTTTGCCACAAATTCCCTTAGAGACTATGGCCTCTGGGTGATGTGACCTTTCTAGGCTAACCTAGGGACAGCTCTAATGTGCTGAATGTCACTGAGAGATTTGTGATTTCCCAATGAGCTGTCCAGGGAGTGGCATCATTTGGGAGGATAGGATCAGAGCATCCAAGTCTGTGTCTTTCTAGGTCTAACAAAATCAGATGCAAATCTTCTCAACAAAACAGAATCTGAGCCCTTGGACAGTGATTGTTGTGTCTATCAGGGCAGGGACTCCGGTTTCCTCCTGGCCCTGAGCAGACTTTCTTCCCTCCCAAAGCTAGGGAACCTGAACCAGAGAGCAGCAGTTTCATTCTCAAGACGATAAACCAGAATTCTGCCTGCATGGCTGGGTGTGGGGCTGCAAAGTCAGAAGGAACTGCAAATTAGGTTCGACACAGCCCACTCCAAACTGACGCCGCTAAAAGCCACTGGGTCTTCCAAGTAGCAGCAGCTATCCCGAGGGTTCCCACTCTCAAGCCACAGAATCTTTTCATTCTCCCAGCCTGTAATGCAGAAGTATTACAGGCTGTCACCCTGTACTACATATGCAAATAGAAATATAGGAGGAGAGAGGCAGTGCTGGTGTCCCCATGCAACTGAGTGGGAGGAGAGCAAAAGAGCAGAGGCCCAAAATTATGCTCATAAGGTAAGTAGATGGAGATTCTGAATTGAATATACTATTGCTCATGGTTCATTAAACACTGAAATCTCAAGGGTTCCAAAGGATAGTGTGGTAATTTGAATGTAATTGCCCTTCATAATCTCATAGGCACTATTAGAAGGTACAGCTTTGTTGGAATGGGTATGGCTTTGTTAGAGGAAGTGTGTCACGGCATCTCAGTCAACTTCCTGTTGCAAGATGTAGGACTCTCAGCTGTTCCTCCAGCTCCACGTCTGCTTGCACGGCACCATGCTCCCTGCCATGATGACAATGGACTGAGCCTCTGAAACAGTAAGCGAGCTCCCTCAGTTAAACGTGTTCCTTCTAAGAGTTGATGTGATCATGGTGTCTCTTCACAGCAATAGAAATCTAACTAACACACGTACTGACAGCTTCAGGGTAGACAGGTCTGGCCAAGCTGTCAAGACGAGGTACTCCTTAGTTAATTGTACAGCAGAGGTGACAAATTGAACGCTGACTTTGATGCCGAAGCACAGCTGTGAATGCTGAAGAGTGTCAGTGCAGCCATGACACCTGGCCAGCTGGACCAACTTCAGGACCACCACTGATAGCTGCGTTTCTCAAGGGGCGAGCTTGAAGATGGGAATGTCCTGGGACTCTCGGGTTAGTGCCTCCCAGAGTGTGAGACTTGAATCCTATCTGTTTCCTTTCTATTGCTCTTTCCTCTCCCCTTCTCTAGGAAAAGACCTTGTCTTTGGTCTTTTGTTCTCTACGAAACTTCAAGTCTGATATTTTATTTTAAAAAATTTAAATCTAGCCAAGAAGGTGACTTAATTGGAAAAGCGCTTTTGCCCTCAAAGCATGAGGATCTAAGAATATGATGCCCAGAACCCATGTAAAAAGGTTGGGTGTGAGCCGCAGCAATGACCGGCCTGGAAAGATATCCCTAAAGGTGCTATAGCGTTAGTCCTATCTTGGCAGTCAATTGGACTTATGGCATGCTCAACAGGAGGAGAGTCGTGCCTGGTACCAGAAACCCAGGCAACTACCCAGGGCTAGTGAAGTCATGGATCTCAGAAGAGATCCCACAACCACCACTTTGCTAAACCAGCCTCATTCTAAATACTTATGTGCCCAGATAAATGAAATTTTTCTTTGCAGTAGACAGATCATTACAGAAAACCACAACTGGTTAAAATGCAGAGAACAAGGGAGCAATGGTCAGCCTTTAAGTCATATATGTACAGGCAACAGTAAAGGGACTCATCAGGTTATAGTATGTATTTGTACACATACACACCTGTGTATATATACATACATATATATATATAAAATCAAAGAAAAAGAGACTATGAATTTGAGGTGGGGGAGGGACATAAGAGAAAAGGACATATGAGGAAAATAAATGGGAGAAATGGGTGTGATTATGTTAATTAAAACAAAGAGCATGTTTAAACCTGGGTTTGGTAGTATGCAGTTGTAATCCCAGTACTGGCAAAGGGGAGACGGGGTTTGTTGACCAGCTGACCTTACCTAATTGGTGAGTTCCAGGCCTAGAAGAGATTCTGCCTGGAAATAAGGTAGACAACTCCTGAGTGACCACACCCAGAGTTTCCTCTGGCCTCTTGCGTGTGCATGTACAAACAAGCACGCATACACACATGAGCAGATACACAAAAAGAGATAAAAAAAATCCTCCCCAGAACCCGTGACTGAACAAGGGATGCTTCCCTAATAGTTCCCATACTTTAGTGCACACGGAAGCATGGAAAGCCTGGTGGAAATGCAGATTCCTAGGCCCCTTGGTAGATGTCATGATTCCAGCGCCTGCATGTGGCATTTTATCCAGCACCTGGGAGGAAGTATGGGAAGTCGCCACAGTTGAAGGAGCTCTGTCAGGAGTGTGCTGTTTACTGTCAGCTGGTGGTCCAAGCTGGAAGTCCCAATCTGAAGACCACTCTCCAGTCCCTGCCAGACCCTACGCTGTGTGTGCAGGACTGGACCTAACTGACTGCCCTTGTGTGTGCTCATTACCATTTCCTTAAACAAATAGGGAGATAGTCTTTTATTTTTTAAAGTTGGGTTATCGAGACAGGGTTTCTCACTTAACTCAGGCTAGTGTAGAGCTCATTATGGAAGTCAGACACCCCATGACTTCACAGCAACCCTCCTGCCTCAGCCTCAAAAGTGCTGGAATTGAGTGTTAGCCATTATGTCCGTATTTAAATGGTTTGGGTCAGAACCAACCACTTAAGAGGCTGGAACTAGACTTGGATATTGGGAAGAAGAACGGAATCACAGGCATGATAGCTTC